CTTTTGCATCTCTTTTCCATCTGCAGCCTCTGGTGTTCTCTTTCTTGAATTATTTTTGCTGGTTAACTGGAACCTCAAACTATTCTCAAACTTTAGAGAACAGAAGAAATCACCTTGAGTCTGTTAAAAATGGGATTCCTTACCCACCTCCCCACTGTGATTCAGCATATCTGGAGTGTGGACCAATAATCTTCATGTTAAAATAAACATATCAAAGTGATCCACCCATGTGATCAGAGGTACATAGATTAAGACACATTGCTCTGAATAGTGGCAAGGTTACAATGAAATGTAACACAATCTCATACTTTTTAATTCAAGGTTTCAAAAATGACATTTATTTTATTTGGAGCTGTAAATAGAGTTAGATTTTTGTATAGAGTACAATGTAGAAATGAGATCTGTAGTAACTATGAATGTAATCACTCTGAGAATGTCAGTGCTAACAAGCAGTTGAAACTTACTCTTGACTGTGTTTATGTTTCCTTTTATTTGAAGCATGTTCCTCTTTTTTCAGAGAAGAATATGTTGGGTTGGCCAAAGAGTTCTTTCGGGATTTCGGTATGATGGCTCTAAGTGCTTAGTTGTCGTTAGCTTCATTTGAAACAATTTTGTTAAGATTGTATTGTGACAGCTGTCATATCAGTGTGCATTAAAAAACACTTACAAAAATTAGTGAATTTTTGTGTAGCCATTTTCAATATTGAAGATGGAAGAAAATATGCAACATTTTTGGAATATTATGCTTCATTTTTTCAAGAAAGGTGAAAACAGCTGAAATGCAAAAAAAGATTTGTACAGTGTATGGAGAAGGTGCTGTGACCGATTGACATGTCAAAAGTGGTTTGCAAAGTTTCGTGCTGGAGATTTCTTGCTGGATGATGCTCCATGGTTGGGTAGACCACTGAAAGTTGATAGCAATCAAATTGAGACATTAATTGAGAACAATCAATGTTAAACCATGTGGGAGATAGCCAACATACTCAAAATATCAGTAAAGTTATCAATAAAGTTATTGGTAAGAATGAAAAATGTATCTTTTATTTTACGGAAAAAAATTAAATGAACTTTTTGGCCAACTTTGAAAAAGTCTCTTGCTTTATTTTCCTAAAAAATGCCCTTTTATCATGAGGAAAAGTAACTTATGTTAGTGATTCTCAGCCTTTCTCCCCGCTCCTGCGTATTAAAGGCATTCTTACTCCCATCTCTGACAGCGGCCACTCCTACCATGTTTCAGCTGTGATAAGAAGATGGGATCTTACTAGAATCTGTGGGGAGGACAGGAAAAAACATACAATTTTACAAACTAATTTTATTTCTTCAAATATTCTTATCTTTAATACAAATACTTCTAGAGGATGCCTGCCCCAATTTCTGAGCTGTTGTGGCTTTCCTGAATACTTAACAATAGAGGAAGGGTTGCTAGGAGGAAATAATAATTGTAACATCCCATTTAAATACCCAAGGGACTTGAGAAAGAAAGCTTTTCTCTACCTAGTGAGTACAAATAATGTTGCGTTCTGTTTTCTGCCTTCCTTTCCTTCCATCAGGACTGTGTATCCTCCAAGTTCCTCAGGGCATGTACTTACCTTCCTTTTCTTTCAGTTGTTGTTTCATGTAGTGGAAGTATTATTTAAGATGTTCTTTTTCTGTTTTACACCCCAATTCTCTTTCCTTGCAGGTAGCCATTTCTTGAAGGAAAAGAGGAATTCTTTTCCTGTGTAGTTTCCAGATGATAGGAGACATTAGAGAAAGCTTGTCTTTTTGGTTCAGAGAATAAAATTGGTTCATACTTAGTAAATGTTCATTTAAATTTCCTTTTATTAATTTGTTTTCTTTTTTCTTTTTTTCACTGTATTTTTTTCCTTTATCATTTATCCCTCTTATGCCCGTCCATGCCCACAATCACCACACTGTTTCCATGACCATGAAAAGTACATGTAAGGGTCTGGGATTTTATTTTACTTTATTTAGAAGCTATTAATTAGCCTGCCACAGTTCATGCATGTGGCAGCACACATGAGACTCCTGGATCAGACACAAGGGACTTAATTATTTATAGCCCAGCAAGCAGCATAAGCATATGTTTATAGTTAGTTCCCTCCATGCCTCCCTCTCCCCCCGCCCCAAGTCCCATGGGAGTGGCTTGAATGAGCCCAGCTAGATGCCTGCACATGTGTTACAGAAACGGAACATTGAGCTTGGGGAATCCATTGTGTTTGGTAAGCAATAAGCAATCCTCCTCTTTTCCTGGAGGGGGACATTACTTCATCCCTCAAAGCTGCTCTTTGTAACACAATCCTTAGAAGTGCGCAGGGTAAGGAGTAGTGAGGGTCCTGCATTTTTGGCATATCCAGCAAGACCATGTAGCAGCGTGAGAGAGCCATGGCAAAGTAGTTTTCCCAACAGTAAATACAATAGGTAACTGACTGAAATCTTAGAAAGATTTATTATAAAATAGTTGCCATATAAAAAGGTAAAAAGAGTAATATAATGAACAGCCATACAGTCACCTTCCAATTTGAGAAATAAGTATCCATATGGTTGAAGCTTCCTGTGGGCCCCTCCCCTTGTCCCACATATAAACACTTTCCTGAATTTGTTATCATGCCAGTGCATTCCTATATATCACTTATTATCATACAGTATTGTTTTGCATGTTTATAAACCTGTAACAATTTTTTTTACTATGATTTAAAAAATTGTTAAAGGACCTTTGTACATAGTACCATTTTAGTCACTGTAGGAAAAAAAGTTAAAGTTCTTAAATGTCATGATCTTGTGGTTCAAGAAAAACTAAAAACACAGAAAGGATGTGTGTAAAAAATAAAAGTTGGTAAACAATATATAATTCTGAAGTCAACTATTAGCATCTAATATATGTAAGGGCTAAGTAGAGTTATGGATGGAGGGCAAAATGCAATTAATTAATGTGTGGAAAATAGTGATGATGAGAGGCAGTACAAAAGAATTATGGAATGAGATTGATCTAGACAGTTTGTCTTATGGGAGAAGAGGTTATGCTATGAGAAACTGGCCTTAAATTGATCAGCCAAAGGAGAAGAGAGAAGGGAGCTGGGAGTAGTTAGCTAAGCAGTGCTGAGCACTCTGTCAGGTAACCATTTTGATTAGGAGGGGTGGCTTAAGACTGCACTGACTTCAAAGTGCCTAACATCTAATTGTGCAGGGGTAGTTACACATGGGAGAATTAGAGAAGATCCTAATTGTTTAATGTGTATTGCAACAGTTGGGGAAAGAAAACCTCAGTGAGTAAAGATGTCTTCAGTTGGGCCTTGATTGGCAGATTGTGATGGGGGTGCGCCAGGAAGGGGAGTGGGTGGCGAGAGCACTTGAGCAAAGACTAGACAGTGAATGTGGAATAGTGAGAAGACTAGACTGTGTGAACTGTTTATGTCCAGGCCACTTGAACTGTAGAGTTTCCCGTGGTCTGGATTTTACTGACTGCACACCTAAAGTACAATTCAGCAGTTTTCCTCTGTCCTGTACTTCCTGCAGATTAGCGACTGGACCCAGTAGCATGATGAGTTTCAGGTTCAGTCCCTTTGGCAAGACTATAGGTGGTGGTTGTGTGTTTTTTTGATCACATCAAAGGTATGTATAAGGGGTTCATTTTACCCTACCTAACAAGCTAATAATTAGCGTCCAACTCTTTCATATCAAGTTCATAGAGCTCCCTCTTCTGTTGTTTCAAGTAGTGTTAAAAAATATAACTGCTTGTTTTCTGAGATGTCCTGGCCTACCCCCTCCCTGCATTTTAATTTGGACTCTTCTTCATTTCTGTTATCCCATCTTACTCAAAATGGATTCCTCTCCCAGCAGTTTCTTCTCAGTGCAGGGCCCCTGTTCTGGGAAGAAGGCTTCGCTAGTTCATATGAATTTATAGGGCTAGACTGCTCTAGCTCCTTTGGGCCTCACTGGGGACCTCTTGCAGTGGACAGAACCCCACCGGTTTCAGTTGCTATCTCAAATGGGTCACATTGTTTTTCATTTAGCACTTGTTGTCTTGGGGTTCTTCTGTTCTCTGTTCCATCAGATGCACTATTATTTCCCTCTATGTTGATCTGCACAGCTGCTTACAACACTCATGCCCTATGGCTGTTGATGATTTTTTTCCCCTCCTGCTTATATATGGGAGGCTATAAGGATGCTTTATCTTCTAGTTTTGTTTTAAATGTTATCCATGGGCTTTTTGTGTTCCTGTCTAATTGCTCTGTTTTTATGTGGGGATTCAGAAATATCAAAAGGCTATGTTGCCATGCTATAGCCATTTCCCCAGAATCTCCATCATAGGTTCTTAAGTAGAAAGATGACATGGGGGAAGGTAGAAGAGGGTACGGGGGAATAGTGATAGAAGAAGACTTGAGGTGGTAGACACACAATACAATATACAGATGATGTGTTATAGAATTGTACACCTGAAACCTATATAATTTTATTAACCAATTCCAACCCAATAAGTTCAGTAAAAAAGAGAACTAGTAGTACCTATTTTGGAATAAGTATACCTATACATTTACATAAATAACTATGATTTTTTTATACATATGTATCCATTATAAAAAGTGAAAAAAGAAAGATGGCACAATCATGAATAGAATGACAGGTCTCACCCAACATTTTACATAGCAGAGACAGTGGTCATTAGATGTTTGTTTGTTTGTTTGTTTTTAAGATTTTATTTATTTTTAGAGAAGGGAATGGGAGAGAAAGAGAGGGAGAGAAACATCAATGTGTGGTTGCCTCTTGTGTGTCCCCCTCTGGGGACCTGGCCTGCAACCCAGGCGTGTGCCCTGACTGGGAATCAAACCAGCGACCCTTTGCTTCGCAGTCTGGCGCTCAGTCCGATGAACCACACCAACCAGGGCAGCTGTTTGTTATTTAATGTTCTCTTTTTTTCTAAATCCAGAAGTGGTATTGGCTGTATGCCCATTTAGCAGGTTACCATGGAAATAATAACTTCTAATCCTTACTCTTTTCAGGTTTACTAAGAATCTTTCCCCAGACAAAATCAATTTGAGCACCCTGAAAGGGGAGGGTCAACTGACCAACCTGGAACTGGATGAAGAGGTTCTACAGAATGTGCTGGAGCTGCCTACCTGGTTAGCCATCACTCGAGTCTACTGCAACAGGGCCTCCATCCGGGTAAGAATGGGGGTCAGAGTGCTGTCGCTCTCTGTGGTCAGCAGGCCTGCCTTCTACAGTCCTGAGTCTTCGCTTTTCTTTTTCAGATCCAGTGGACAAAGTTGAAGACACACCCAATTTGCTTGGTAATGGCTTGTCTTTATTGCAAGTAATCAAATGGGGATTATTGGGGTAGGATTTTAAGGGATCTGAGAGAAGATGGGGAGGAGTCCTGATAAGCTTTCCCTATTGGGAGCTGTGAGTGCTTTGTCTGGCCTGTGAGCTTCTCTCTGAGACAGAGTGACTATTGTCTGGATTTACTCTATAACTGCTGGGCAGTATAAGAATTATCATTGAGACACAAGACCCAGGAGTCCTCAGGGGTTTTTTTGTTTTTGTTTTTAAGATTTTATTTATTTTGAGAGACAGGAATGGAGGGAGAAAGAGAGGAAGAGAAACATTGATCGGTTGCCTCTTGCATGTGCCTTACTTGGGGACTGGGCCTGCAACCCAGGCATATGTCTTGACCTGGAATTGAACCAGCAACCTTTCACTTTGTGGAATGACGCTCAACCAACTGAGCCATGCTGGTTAGGGCATGAGTTGGTTTTGTTTTATTGTTTTTCATGACAAGTTTTGCTGCCCAGGTACTTCCTTTAGATTTCCTTATTTTCCCTTAGAATCCTAAAGGAGGGAAGATTAGAAGTTTAGTTCATGTTGACTATTGGATGATTATCAAATGACAGCTCTTTATGAACTGATTCACGTGTACCTTTATGCCAAAGACTGGAAACCCGAGAGGAATGGTAGTATCTCTGTGACTTGGATTTATGTTTTAGTTTTCTGTTGTGAGCTAATCCTGTGCTTGTCATGGAGTTCTGCTGCTAATGGAAACAAAGAGGGAAAGATGAAACCTCTCGTTGTATTTCAGTTTGTTTGTTCATTCGTTCAACAGATATTGTCTTCCCACTGTGAACATAGCACTTAACTAGGCACTGGAGCACAGAGATGAAGAAGAAGCAGCCTGTACTATGTGGGTTTTTGTGCAGATGCTTAGCTCTTCATGGCTTTTGTTTCAGTGTCTGGATAAGGTGGAGGTGGAGATGAAGACATGTGAGGAGCCTCGGCCTCCCAATGGACAGTCTCCCATAGCCCTCGCTTCAGGACAGAGGTTAGTTGGAAACATTAACTTGTCCAGATCACCTTTTAGTTAAAAAATAAAAACTTTTTATTATTGAAAATTTCAAACATACACTGAAGTAGAGAGAATAGGGTAATGAACCCCCATGCACCCAAGATCTAACTTCAATTATTAACATTCGGCCATTTTTTTACCTTTCTCTTGCTATTTTGTGTGGCGTGTGTGCTTCTGCTATAGCACTTGAAAGCAAATCCCAGACACCACAGAATTCTGCCCTTGATACATGAACTTTGGTATCATGTATCTTTAACAGACAAGAACTGAGAAGAAAAAAGAACCCATAATACCATTATCACAATTAATAAAATTAACAGGAATTCCTTAATATTATCTATATCTATTTCATATTCAATTTTCCTGAATTGTCTCTAAAATATTTTTTACAATACAATGTGGATCTAAGAGCTCTGTACATTTTATTTGGGTGATAAGAGTTTTAAAACTTTTTAATTCTAAACACTACCCTCCACTCCACTTTTTACTATTCTATTTATTCTTTGTAGAAACTAGATTACTTTTTATAAAGAATTTCCCACATTCTCAAAGTGTCATTTAAAATGTTTCTCATTTAGTCTGGTAGTTAGATTTAAAGGCTTGATTTGATTTTTTTTAAAGAATATTTCAGAAATAGTACTGTGTATTTCCTGTTGTAACATATCTGGAGAAACATGATATTCCTTTGATTAAGGTTAATTAGTGGATTTAAATGATGTTGGCCTGATTTGTTCATTATGATGAGATCCTCATCAACCTTTCACCTCATGGTTTAAGGAGCATTGATGATAGTTGCCTAAATCTTTTGTTTTATCGTGGGATGCAAAATAGGGATTTTATAATTATTTTCTTCCTATTGCATTTATTTGCTGTGATTTTCTATAAAGAATTTTCTTTAACCTGCCCTGGCTGGTTATGGCTCAGTGGATTGAGTGCTGGACTGCGAACCAAAGGGTCACTGGTTTGATTCCAGTCAAGGCACATGCCTGGGTTGCAGACCAGGTCCCTGGTTGAGGGTGCGTGAGAGGCAATCAATCTATGTTTCTCTCCCTCTCTTTCTCCCTCCCTCCCCGTCTCTCTGAAAATAAATAAATAAATTTAAAAAAGATCATTTTCTTTAACCAGCTATTTGAATACGCTGAAATATAGTTTGTACAGGTATGTTAGGATAAATGCTGGATTCTTGACCTTTATCAAATATAATAATCATGTATATCGAAAACTTAACACAATGTTATATATAAAAATAGAAAAATACTTATGAGCTGATAGCCTAATAATCTCTAAAGAGATTTTTTTGGGAGTGGGGAGAGGGAGGAAGAGGTTTATTTTTGAATCCATGGACTTTTTTTTTTTTTTTACAGCTTTATTATGGTATAATGGGCATAAAATGGACTGCACATATATAAAGTATACAATTTGATAAGTTTTGGAATATGCTATACCCATGAAACCGTCAACACAATCCATGATAATGAACATATCCATCATCCCCACACATTGTTGGTCTCCTTTGTATCCCCTCCCTTCCCTTTCCCACTTCCCTCCTATCCCCAAACATTGCCTTCGTCACTATAGGTTAGTTTGCATTTTCTATAACTTTATATAAATAAAATCATATAATATATACACTTTTTTTTGGTTTGGCTTTTTTTTTTTTTTATAAAGATTTTATTTATTTTTAGAGAAGAGGAAGGGAGGAGGAAAGAGAGGAAGAGAAACAGTAATGTGTGATTGCCACTTGCACGCCCCCAACTAGGGACCTGGCCCACAACCCAGGTGTGTGCCCTAGACTGGGAATCGAACCAGCGATCCTTTGATTTGCAGGCCAGCACTCAGTCCACTAAGCCACACCAGCCAGAGCTTGGTTTGGCTTCCTTTATTCAGCATAATTATCTTGAGATTCATCCATTTCGTTGAGTGTATCAATAGTTTATTCCTGTCATTGCTGAGTAATAATACTCCATTGTGTGGATATAGCACAGCTTGTTATCCATTCACTTGTTGACAGATGTTTTATTTTCAGTTTTTGACTATTGTGAATAATGGTGCCGTGGACATTCATATACAAGTTTTTGTGTGGTTATGTGCTTTTATTTCCCTTGAGTAAATATCTAGGAATGAAATGGTAGAGTGGTATGGTAGGTAAGGATTTAACTTTTTTAGAAATTGTCATACTTTTCCAGAGTGGTTTACTATTTTACATTCCTTTTACATTTTATATTTTATTTACATGCTTTCACATTTTATATTTTTATATCCTACATTTATATTTACTTTTTAAATATATTTGTTGTATGTCATACTTTTACAGTCATTATTCTTTTTGATGTTCAGATGTCCCTATCATTGGCCAGTGAGAACCTTCAAAATCACCACCTATGTCCTTTGGACAAGATCCTGGTAATTTTTCTGCTTTTAGGTAGTACAAGATGCTTCAGGTGTCTCTATACATCCTTATCTGAGACCCTTCTCTAAGAGACCCTGATTCCTTTTACTGAGAAATGTTTAGAGACTATAGTCTGGGCAAAATGGTATTCATTGAGTGGCCATTGCTTAAAAGCCTTTTTAGTGTTCAGATCTAGGGAAAAGTTATTTTCAAGAAAAGGAAAAATAAATCATGACACTATCCTGATTATGTGTTTGCTTTTTGAGAGTTATAATATTTTATTTAATTAATAATTAGTGTTTACATATTAATTTTATTATTTTTTATTTTAAATCATTTTTAATTTTTCAATTACAGTTGGAATACATTACTATATTTCAGATGTACATGCCCGTGATTAGACATTACATACTTGCTAAGCGATCGTCCTCATCAATCTTGCGCCCATCCAACACCATACATAATTATTAGAATAGTATTGACTATATTCCCTATGCTGTACTTTTTGTATCTCCATGACTATTCTGTAACAACCAATTTGTATTTCTTAATCTGTTCACCCTTTTTGCACATTCCTCCAAAATTCCTCCCATCTGGCAACTGTCAAAATGTTTTCTGTATCTATGAGTTTTTGTTCTGCTTGTTTGTTTGTTTGTTTTTTAGATTCAGTTGCTGATAGATATGTATTTATTGCCATTTTATTGTCCATATTTTTATTCTTTTTTTCTTCTTGAAGAAGGCCCAATTTCATACAATACTGGTTTGGTGGTGATAAACCCCTTTAGCTTTTTTTTTTTTTTGTCTGGGAAGCTCTTTATCTCTCCTTTGATTCTAAGTGATAGCTTTGCTGGGTAGAGTAATCTTGGCTTTAGTTCCTTGCTTTTCTTCCCTTTGAATATTCCTTGCTAGTCCCTTCTGATCTGCAAAGGTTCTGTTGAGAAATCAGCTGACATTCTTATGGGAGCTCCCTTATAGGTAACCTACTGCTTTCTCTTGCTGCTTTTAATATCTACTTTTTAACTTTTGACATTTTAATTATGATGTGTCTTGGTGTGGGCCTCTTTGGGTTCATCTTGTTTGGGATTCTCTGAGCTTCCTAGACTTCTATGTCTATTTTCTTTACCAAGTTAAGGAAGTTTTCTGTCATTATTTTTTCAAATACGTTTTCAAATATATTTCTTGCGCTCTCTCTTCTCCTTCTGATACCCCCATGATGCGAACATTGGTATGCTTCAGGTTGTCCCAGAGGCTCCTTATACTATCCTCATTTTTTGGATTCTTTTTTCTTTTTGCTGTTCTGATTGAGTGTTTTTTTGCTTCCTTATATTCCAGATCACTGATTTGATTCTTGGCTTCATCTCAACTACTGTTGATTCCCTGTAAATTATTCTTACAGGGAGTCAACAGTTAATTTCAGTTGATAGGTTCTTCATTTCAGACCAGTCCTTTTTTATGCTGTTGAGTTTTTCACTAAGTTCTTTGAATATTCTTATAACCAGTGTTTTGAATTCTGCATCTAGTAGATTCCTTGTCTCCATGTCTTTTTAAGTTCTTTCCCTAGAGTTTGGTTCTGTCTTTCATTTGGGACATGTTTCTTTGTCTCCTCATTTTGGCTGCCTCCCTGTGTTTATTTCTAAGTATTAAGTAGAGCTGCTGCCTCTCTTGGGTTTGGTAAAGTGGCCTAATGTAGTAGGTGTCATGTAGGGTCCAGTGGAACAGTGTCCCTGACCACCCCAAGCTGGGCACTCTGTGTGCACTGACACCACTCCCCATGGGTTGTGTACACCCTCCTGTTGTAGCTGAGCCTTGATTGTTGTTGGCATGTCAATGGGAGGCATTTACTCTCAGGTCAATTGGCTGCAAGGACTCACTGTGACCATTGATAACTATGGAGGATCAGCCGTGCAGGGGCCAACCCCACAGAGCAGGACTTACTCAGTGGGGCTCAGGTGCCCCCTGAGCCAACCCCTTGAGTGTGTCACTTATGGAGGTGGTTGGATGGTGGTACTTTAACATGGTCTGAAGCAGTCCACTGGGTATGCTGGTGCTGGGGCGTCCTGGGAGGTGCAGGCCAAGGTCATTTATCACCTGTGTTCTGCCAGGGGCCATGTGGCATGAGCTACAAAGCAATTTGCAGATGGCTGCTTCTTGTGCTGGGTTTGGAGATGTCCAGACAAGGCCAAGCTTTGAACCAAGGCTGGCTCTGCTAGTGCCAGGCCAGGGGCCATTTAGTGAGAGGTGTGGGGCATGCTGAGGCCAGATGTTGCTTGTCTGAGAGATTTTAGAGGGAAATCTGAAGTGTGAGCCAAGACAGGCCACTTGTATGGAAAAGCTACTGGAAAGAGCTTGGGTGGGCCTGAAGGTTGGGTGGGGCAGAGGCTCAGGGAATCACCAGTGTGGGGCAAACGGTGGGAGCGAGGTTGATGAAGACTCAGGTATGGCGCCTGCTGCTCGCTCTGTGGGGAGAGGGCTCAGAAAAGGAACAGTGTCCTCTGCCAGTGTTTCTGTCTGGGAAAAAGTTATCCTCTAGTTCTCACTTGATGTTAGACACTTGAGTTCCTCCTTGTATGCCTCTGGTGTCTTTCAAGCTGCTGCTCCAGTCCTGGAGCTCACAGGGAGTGAGTCTGAGTAAGTCTGTGCATGGGCCCTTTAAGAGTAACTGCCTGGGAATCTAGCAATTTCTGTCTTCCACAACCTCAATCTCCACTGATTTTTACAGCTAGAAGTTATAGGGACTTCTCATCCTGGCTGGAAATCTGGGCTGGGGGCCCTGGTGTGGGGCTGGGATCCCTTGCTCCAACATATCCCTCCCTATTTTTACCCACTACACATGGGTGTGGGACCAGCCCACTGTACACCTCTGCCCCTCCTACCAGTCCCGGTGTGGTTCCTTCTTTAATTCTGTAGTTGTAGGACTTCTTTTCAGCTCAATTTCTGGTGGTTCTGAATAATAGTTGTTTTGTAGTTTAGTTGTAATTTTAATGTGGTTGTGGGAGGAGGTGAGCCTTATTTACCTAGGTCACCACTTTAGCTTTCTTTCCGGAATTTTTTCATAAATATGCACAATACTGTAAATGTTTTCTCTCTTCCATATGCTTTTCTTAATAACATTTTATTTTCTTTATCTTACTTATTTTAAGAATATAATATATAATACATATAACATACAAACTGTATGTTAATCAACCATTTATGTTACTGGTAAGGCATCTGGTCAACAGCACACTCTTAATATTCCAATAGTTAAGTTTTGGGAAGAGTCAAAAATTATACATGGGGTTTTGTGGATTTTTGACGGCATGGGGGAGTCAGTGCTCCTAACCCCTGTGTTGTTCAAGAGTCAACTGTGTATGTTTGTTTGTTTTAGTTTATAATTTTCTGACCTTTTTTTCATCTTGTAATGAGAATTGATTTCACCTACATGTCAAGAATGTCTTTGTTTTCCACATCCAGAAATACTTTAAGATGGCCTTCATTCCTCTCCTTGCCATTTCTGTCCTCTCACTGTGGAAGTACAGCTGTGGTCTTCGGGATATATTTGATAGTGTAAAGGTGGGGCTACTTTTGAATAGATTTTATAGTATTATACCTCTCGTTCACTTAGTGTATTTCTTTTCTCTTTCCCATATCTTTGCAAGGTATGCTCTGTCTTTGAAAATTTTATACAATCCTAGTGTTTCCTTTCTGTAGTTATAGTCCCCTCACAGAAATACTCAAATGTTTATTTCAGTTAATTGGTGGACTATAAAAATTTTTTTCAATTCTTTGAAAGGGGAGAGAGATTGTTTTCAGGTAAACTTTTTCTTTTATTTCTTTATTAAAAAAAATCCCATTAAAAACCATAACTGGTGTGGCTTAGTTGCTTGAATATCATCCAGCGAAGTGAAAGGTCACCAGTTCGATTCCCGGTCAGGGCATATGCCTGGATTGCAGCTTTCGTCCCTGGTTGGGTACATAGGGGAGGCAACCAATTGATGTTTCTCTCTCACATTGATGTTTCTCTCCCTGTCTTTCTTCCTCCCTTCTCCTCTTTCTAAAACAAATTAAAAAAATAAAATGTTGAAAAAATCTTATTAGAAAGAGTACTGTATCATAAAATTTTAATGGAAATTTAAAAAATACCAGAAAGTAGAAATGGGAGGAGAGAAATAAAGAAAAAAAAATCATGTATAGTTTTAGCACCCAAAGGTGGGCATTGTTAATAGTCTTGTCTGATGTCTTCAGTATAAAGAGTGTGTATGGTTGCACATGATTTTGAACATTGGTCTACCTTGTTTGTTGTAGTGAGTATGGCTTTGCTGAAAAGGTGGTGGAAGGGATGTTCATCATCGTCAATTCCATCACTATCAAGATTCACTCCAAGGCCTTCCACGCTTCTTTTGAATTGTGGCAGCTCCAGGGCTATAGTGTCAACCCCAACTGGCAGCAGAGTGACCTCCGCCTCACCCGCATCACCGACCCCCACCGAGGAGAGGTGACAGCCCTAGCATTTCAAGAGGGGAGAATGGGGGGATTTAAAGTAGGACTACTTCTTAAAGGATAGTATTCCTGTGTTGCGGATTTCCTCAAAGATTCCCGGTTCCTGGGAATGTAGGAACTTCACTTCTCTGCCCAGGGTTATTGCTATATCCTTTCCTCAATTATGGATCTTTCGTCTACTGCCTTTTATTGGTAAAATCCCACCTGAGAATGGTGGAAGTCTCTGCCTTGCCAGTCTTTTCCCCTTGGATGTCCCACCTTTTGCTTAATTTTATCCACAGAATTAAGGGATTTTATTCTCTTTCCTTCCAGGTTTTAACATTTAAGGAAATAACTTGGCAAACACTTCGGATTGAGGCAGATGCAACAGACAGTGGTGATCAGGACCTGGTTACCACCCCCCTGAGGCTCATTACCAACCAAGGCAGGATCCAGATAGCCCTCAAGAGAAGAGTGAGTGTGTTCTCTGCCCTCATGAAAACTCCCATTTTCCATTCTCCTAAACAGCTTGGGAATTAGCGTACCCTCTTTTGTTGACGTTACTGCAATGACAGTTGAAAAAGCAGGTCCTGCACTTCAGTGTTGCAAAGTATCCACTAATAAGAGAACATTTCTATCTCCCTGTAATCTTAATTTTGGAAACCACAGTTTTTACACATATATAGGGACACTGACATAGGTACCTGGCAGTTGTCTTTTGCTGCTTAGTATAAGTTTTAAGAAATTGACTCTCCAGAGTGCTTGATACTTTACTTTCATGTCCTGGGGATTAGAAAGCCATATTTGAAATTGATTTGGTGATAGTCATTTTGAGGAGTTGGAATGATACAAGATATTGAATCTGTGTTCTGTGTGGCCCCTTCAGACCAAAGATTGCAATGTGGTAGCCTCCAAGCTGATGTTCCTGTTGGATGACCTGCTCTGGGTGCTGACTGACTCGCAACTCAAGGCTATGATGAAGTATGCAGAGTCACTGAGTGAGGCCATGGAGAAGTCAGCCCAGCAGAGAAAGAGCCTGGCCCCTGAACCTGTACAGGTTAAGAGACAAAACAGATACCCTTGGTGGGGCTGGGGAAATGGTGCCAGACCTAATTTATACAAACATAGGAGGAGTCTAGACGTTTTTGGCTTATTTGAGGGACTTGTCATTTACTTCTCGATGTGCACAGGCTTTGCTTAGGCCTCTGATTTATTCATTTATTCTGTTCATTGGGTGCCTCTGGTGTGTTAGGTATACAGTGCTAGCTACTGGAGAGGAAAAGAGGAATAAGCCCCTTGTTCCTGTCCTTGGAGCTCTCCTGTCTTGAAATATGGACCATAAACAAGTTATTACAATATGGTGTGAAAAGTGCTGTAACAGAGATAAACACTATGCTATGAGAGCACGAAGACAAGGCATCTAACTATCTGGGCTGCTAGAGGGCGTTTAGGAAAGAGTTCCCAAGGAAGTGTTTTAGCATCTGTCAGCCCAGTCCTGGGATCTAAGAGTTTGGAGGGCAATTCAGACCTCAGAACAGAGCAGAACTATGATAGTTACTAGACTAGTTATAATTAGGCTTTTTGGAATTTGGGTAATTTAGGCGGCACAGACCTGAGTTGTCAGGTGAAGAGTTACAAGAGGAAGGGGATCTTGCTGAATTGTACTTTTCTTCGGGCTGGACTAAAGCTTAAAAAAGCCTGCAGAGGAGTCTCAGGGTGTGGATGTCTTGTTTTTCTTTCTGTCACATGTAGATCACCCCGCCTGCTCCCAGTGCTCAGCAGTCCTGGGCCCAGGCATTTGGTGGCAGCCAGGGCAGCAGCAGCAGCAGCAGCAACCGACTCAGCCAGTACTTTGAGAAATTTGATGTGAAAGAGTCCTCCTACCATCTGCTCATCTCCCGCCTGGACCTGCACATTTGTGATGATAGCCAGTCCCGAGAGCCAGGTACTCCGGGAGGCCTGAGCCTGGACAAAGCTGGGGGAGGAAGGCTTTTTTCCAGAGACACTGTGGAGTACTTTGGTTGGTTTTCCTTAATCACAGGCATTCCTGGAGCCTCAGCTGTCCCGTGGTAGCTTTTTCTGCCAGTGTAAGCAGTGCTCTTCAGCCTTTAGGGTGCAACAGGACCACCTATAACACTTGATAAAATACACATGTTGGTGCTCTCCCCAGGCTCCTTAAAATCAGAAACTTCAGGACTGTAGTCCCAGCAGTACATACTTTATTTTTTTCTCCAAAAGTCCCTTGGGCAATGCTAACCACTGATGTAAACGTTAGGAAAGGAAATTCAACTAGGAAACCTCAGAATTTTCAGATTTTTTAAAATCCTTACCTGAGGATATGTTTATTGATTTTAGGAATAGAGTAAGGGAAAGAGAGGGGGAGAGAGGGAGAGAGAGAGAGAGAAGCATCAGTGTGAGAGAGAAACATTGATTGGTTGTCTTATGTATGTGCCCTGACTGGGGACTGAACTTGCAACCTAGGTATGTGCCCTGACCAGGAAATGACCCTGCAGTCCTTGGTATACTGGATTGCACTCTAATCAACTGAGCCACCTGGCCAGGGCAGAATTTTCAGATTTTTAAATCAATTTAATTTTTATGTGTATATGTGCTCTTCCGAGGCAGAGAAGTTATGCTGTGTTCTTGTCTTGCTTTTATGTTCATTAGAGCAATTGGTATTATGTACACATATATGTTTATTCAGAATGAAAAAGTAATCGACCCATTTCTTTCCTTCATGAGCCTTGGGGAAATCACTTTAGCTGCTCGCTTAACCTCTTTGGGTTTCTTCATTTGTGAACTTGAGTTAAATTACATCTAGTTTACCTCCCAGGTTGTTGTCAGGCTCAAATGAGATATATACTGAATTTCGAGAACCTTAATTATAGGCAAATATTAATGCCTATTTCTTCCGTACTCTGAGTGTTCTTCCTTTATACTTCCCTTTGCTACCAGTTCTTGGTTTTACATGCTCTCATACGGTAGATTTGTCTCTTGCTGCCTTATTTTCTCTGAAGGTTATGTTTGCCTTTTAATGAGACCTAGACTAACTTTCCTTGGGGAAACTTACCTTTTCTTTGCTTCTCAAGGCACCCAGGCAGCATTGTCTCTCTAGCTTGGCTATTCCTTGGTCTTGAGGTGACTTCAACTCCCCTCTGCTCCTACTCAGAAAGCTGAAAGGAACAGTGAACGCATAAGGATTGCTTTTGCCACCATAGGAAATAAATTGCTCCCTGGTTTGCTACCCGTTTGTTTTGGAATTTCTATGTTAAAACAATCACTTTTATTTGGTGGCTATTTCTTCCAAGTGTTACTATAAAGGCTTTGGTTTTTGTTGTTGTTGTTTTTGTTGCTATTTTATTTTTAATTCTTTCAGACGTCTTCATTAAGAGTACACTTGAAAGTTTCATTCTCTTGCTTGATGAGGAGTGTAGAGCACTGTGCTTTTCATGTGGCAGGGCTCTTTAATCACTGTGATGTGAATGACTGTAGCCTTCCCTGCAGCCTCCATTTATTTATTAAACTAAATTACTCGGTGGAATTTATGGAAGTTTTGGATGAGATATTTTTAGCTGGGGATAACTCTTAGCCTACTATACCCAGGTGTGGTACATGATGATAAAGGAGCAGGAAGAAGTAGAGTCCTTGTGACTTCGACTCTTCTCCTTGGATTTAGGAAGAAAGGAAAAAGGAGAACTAGGTGGTGCAGAAAGAGCTTTAAGACTGTCTTGAAACTTCTGGCCAAGATGGAGGCGTAGGTAGATTCACTTTTTCTTCTTGCACAGCCAAAAGAAGGACAACAACAAATTTAAAAACAAAAATTACCAGATTGACAGAAAAGCGAACTGTATGGAAGTCCAACAACTAAGGAGTAAAGAAACATTTATCCAGACCAGTAGGAGGGGTGGAGCCAGGCAGCCAGGGTGGAGAGCAAGCAGAAGGTGGAGGCTGGAGGACCAGGTGGGTGAGGTGGCAGCTGGAGGTCCAGGTGGTCCCACATTTGCATGTGGATAAACCGTGAGGAACAGCTGGGGAGGACCCCTCCCCCACATACAGATTCACAACCCAGTGACCTGGGTTGCCCTGCCCTGGTGAATACCTAAGATTCAGCCCCTTCCAACATAAGACAAAGAAATATGGCCCAAATGAAAGAACACATCAGAGTTCCAAAAATAGAACTAAGCCATGAAGAGATAGCCAACTATCAGATGCGGAGTTCAGAACACTGGTAATCAGGATGCTCACAGAATTGATTTGCGTACCGACACAAAATGCAGGAAAAAGTGAAGGCTATTCAAAATGAAATAAAGAAAAATATACAGGGAACCAGCATTAAAGGGAAGAAAACCAGGACTCAAATCAACGGTTGGGAGCAGAAGGAAGAGATAAACATTCGACCAGAACAGAATGAAGAAACAAGAATTCAAAAAAAATGAGAGGTTTAGGAACCTCTGGGATGACTTTAAATGTTCCAATGCCCGAATCATAGGGGTGCCAGAAGGAGAAGAGGAGGAGCAGGAAATTGAAAACTTATTTGAAAAAATTATGAAGGAAGACTTCCCCAATCTGGGCAAGGATATAGACTTCCAGGAAGTTCAGGAAGCTCAGAGAGTCCCAAAGAAGTTGAACCCAAGGAAGTACACACCAAGGTGCATGATAATTACATTACCCAATATTAAAGATAAGTAGACAACCTTAAAAGCAGCAAGAGAAAACGAGACAGTTACCTACAAAGGAGTTCCCATAAGGCTATCAGCTGATTTCTCAAAAGCAACCTTGCAAGAAGGGGCTGGAAAGAAGTATTCAAGGTCATGAAAGGCAAAGACTTCCATCCAAGATTACTCTCTCCAGCAAAGCTATCATTTAGAATGGAAGGGCAGATAAAGTGCTTCCCAGATAAGGTAAGGTTGAAGGAGTTCATCATCACCAAGCCCTTATTATATGAAATGTTAAAGGGACTTATTTAAGAAAAAGATGGAGATCAGAAACTATGAACATTAAAATAACAACAAACTCACAACTATCAACAATTGAACCTAACAACAAAAACAAAAACAAACAAAGAGAACAGCTAGGACAGGAACAGAATCACAGAAATGGAGATCAGAGGGGAGGGGGAAGGGGAGAATAGGGGAAAAGGTACAGGGAATAAGAAGCATAAATAGTAGGTACAAAATAGATAGGAGGAGGTTAGGAATAGTATAGGAAATGGAGAAGCCAAAGAACTTATATGTACAACCCATGTACATTAACAAAAAATGGAGGAATGCTGGTGGGAGGGGCAGTGCAAGGTGGATGGGAATAAAGAGGAGGAAAAAAAATGGGAAACTGTTATAGCATAACCAATAAAATATATATTAAAAAAAAAGACTTTCTTGAGTATTTCTGTCCATGGGACTGTTGGACACTTCAAACACTGGCTGACCCAAATTGAGATGTGTTGCAAGGGTAATATGCAAACAGGATTTTGAAGATATAGTACAAAAATACAGTGTAGAATACCTTGATAATTATTTTTATATTTATTACATGTTGAAATAACATTTTAGGTATACTTAATAATACAAAATATGTATTATTAAAATCAATTTCACTTTTTAAAAAACTTCCTTTTCATGTGGCTACTATAAAATTTAAACTTATTTGTGGCTCACATTCTCTTTCTGTTGGATAGTAGTACTATATAACTGTCCAGTATTGTAGCCCCTAGCCACATGTGGTTATTTAATTAAAATAAAAATTAAATGAGTTCCTCATTTGCACCAGCCAAATTTCAAGTACTCAATATAATCTCTAGACCATAGAAGATGTCCACCATCACAGAAAGTTCTTTTGGACAGTGCTGCTGTAGGGACTCCTTGAAGGCTCCATTTACCTTCTTTTTCATTAAGGGACACAATAGCCTGGGTATTGGGGACCCTGACTCACACGCTCATGTAGCCCTTGGTATTAGAGATGAAATTATTGGATACTGGGTAGGTTGTTGGGGACAGCTTGGCTTGAGTTAGGGCAGCACTGTCTCTTAAAATCAAAGCGGATCCTTGACATGGGTCTTGGCAGTGATTTTTTTTTTTTTTTATACCAAAGCGAAGGCAACAAAAGCAAAAATAAGCAAGTAGGACTACATCAAACTAAAAATTTTCTGCATACCAAAGGAAACCATGAACACAATGAAAAAGCAACTTACCAAATGAGAGAAAATATTTGTAAATCATATATCTGTTAAGGGGTAATACCCAAAACATAATACAATACAATAGCAAAAATCCCAAATAATCAAATTAAAAAGAGCAGAGGATTTGAATAAACATTTTTCCCAAGAAGACATACAGATGGCACATGGGTACATAAAAAGATGTTCAACATTACTACTTTTTAGGGAAATGTAAGTCAAAACCACATTAAGATATCACCTCATACTTGTTACAATGGCCATTACCAAAAAAACAAGAATTAAGTATTGGTAAGGATGTGGAGAAAAAACCCTGTGCACTGTTGGTGGGAATGTAAATTGGTGCAGCCACTGGAAAACAGTATGGAGGGTCCTCAGAAAATTAAAAATAGAACTACCATATGATCCAGCAATCCCACTTCTGGGTATTTAGCCAAAGGAAATGAAAATACTCAAAAAGATATCTGCATCCCCATGTTTATTGCAGTATTATTTACAATAGCCAAGATACAGAAGCAGCCTAAATGTCCATTGATGAATGAGTAGATAAAGAAAATGGATAAAGCAACCTACATGTCTGTTGATCAATGAATGGATAAAGGCATGCGCACACGCGCACACACACACACACCAATATATATATATATATATATATATATATAGACACAATGGAATATTATTCAACCGTAACAAAGAAGAAAATTCTGCTATATGTGACAACATGGATGGCCCTTAAGGGCATTATGCTAAGTAGAACAAGTCAGAGACAGACAAATACTGTATGATCTCATTTAAATGTAGAATCTAAAAAGCAGCAAAAAATATTGAACTCATAGATATTGAACACAGATTGGTGGTTTCCAGAGGGAGGGGGCAAAATGTATGAATGGGGTCAAAAGGTACAAACCTGTTATAAAGTAAATAGGTCATGTAGATATAGTGTATAGAATGGTGACTACAGTTAATAATACTGTATTGTTTATTTGAAAGTTACTAAAAGAGTAGATCTTAAAAGTTCTCATTACAAGAAAAAATTTTATAACTATGGCGATGGATGTGAACTTGACTTACTGTGATGATCATTTTGCAATCTATACAAACATTGAGTTATTCGTTACATTGTACAACTGAGATCAGTGTAATGTTATATGTCAATTACATTTCAATAAAAGAAATCAAACTGGAGCATCTCACACTTCAAAGGCTTCAGAGAGGAGGTTGATGGTTGATGGGGAAGAGTGTTACCTGACTCATTTTAACTGTTTTACTTCAGGATAAGGCCTGTGAGCCCAAAACTTTGTCTCTTAAATCTAGGCCATCCTTTTCCACCAGCTCGTTGAAGAATTGTAATTAGCCATTTATGTACACTATCATTTATGTCTCATATATAATTATGTGTTTACAATTAAGTATGTTGATGATTGGTAATTATATTTGATTTCATTTCAAGATCCTGTTTTTATATGCTCAGTCTGTATTTGCTGTTCTTTTAGCTACAAGTGACTTCAACAGAGGGAGCATGGCTGTGAAACCCTCTCCTTCCAGTAGCCTAACTCCTGCATTTTAATATTTCCCCCAAGCAGGTGGAAATTGACTCCTCTTTTGAACAGCTATATTGAAATATAATTCAAATACTATATAATTCACCCATTTATAATATACAACTCACTGTTTTTCAGTGTGTTCTTGGGGTTTTGCATCAGCACGACAGTCCAATTTTAGAGCATTTTTATCCCTCCTAAAGAAATCCTGTATCCATTAGCTGTCATTCCCCATTTCACAGCCCTAAGCATACACCAATATACTTTCTATCTTGCTGTTTGCCTACTCCAGACATTGAAAATTCATTTTTTGGTGGATGGTGAAAAGAATCTTATGTAATAACAATGGTTTGTGGTCCTCCAAAGCTTAACCCTGTGTGACAAGATTTTATTCCTTAGTATTTAATTTCTCTCATTGGGTTTGCTTGGCTATCACAATGAGTAACATTGACATTGAATTCATGAAAGGTACACAAGTGTATGGAAGATCAAAATTGCAAACTGGTGAATAGATGGCCATGATTAGAAGTATTTCTTTCAGTTAATTGTTTGATCTTAAAGCATATGGTGAGATGGCCTGCACATGCCTGCTGGCTGTCACTGGCTGCCTTGTCAGTGTTGTTTATGTTTGATCTTCAGTACTTCTGTGGTTTGAGCTTTGAGGACTAAATAAAATAGTTTATATTTTATTATTTGACTCTACAAGTGTTTTTCAACCCATCATTTAGTCAAGTGCTGAAAAGAAAAAATACTGACAATATCTGAATGAATATCTAGCAGCTAGTTAAGTTAAAGATTATTTTTGCATATCAAAGGTTAAAATTCAGATCACTTAGTTTTAATGAAATTAATTTGAAATTTTCAGTTTTATTTTGCTAAAAATAATTTTGAATAATTAAACATTTGATTATATTGCTGTTATATATTTATATAAAGTGAAATTTACATATGTAATTTGATAAATTATAGTTTATATAAGTAAATTACATTAAAAATTACTCAGCAAATACAAAGTTAAATATTAGCTTTAAATTTTTAAATTTAACTTTTAACTTAAATTTTAACTTTCTTAACCTTGCATCGAATAAAAGGAATAAACTTTATATTTTTTCTTTTTATGTATAAAACATAGGTAGACATATAGAATATGAACAGATATACAGTATATCTGAAGTATTAACATTTTATGGAGGGTTCAATTAGGGAAAAGTGTGTAAAAAGACTCCTTAGGGCAATTATGAAAAAAAGATTGAGAAACGGAAACACTGGTATGGGTGTATTCCTTGGCAGGATATTGATTAGTTCAATACTTGTAAGATGTAGATTGGATGGAAAGAACCCTTCTGGTTGTAGGTGTACCAGCTTATACCTACAGGATCTCATGGTATTTCCCTTTATGCTGGTAAGGGACAGGGTGGAAGTTCAGAACACGGGTCAGACATTACATGTATGCAGATTATTCCCTGCTGTTATAGTTCTTAGGGTCTAGTTGAAAAGATGCGTGTTTTGAACTCTGCATCTGATAGATTGCTTGTCTCCACTTTGTTCTTTTTCTGGAATTTTGTTCTGTTCTTTCAGATGGGACATGTTTCTTTGTCTCCTCATTTTTGCTGCCTTCCTGTGTTTGTTTCTAAGTATTAGGGAGAGCTGCTACATCTCCTGGTTTGGTAGAGTGGCCTAATGTAGTAAGTGTCTTGTAGGGTCCAGTGGCACAGTCTCCCTAATTACCCCAAGCTGGACACTCTAGGTTTACCCTGCCCCCTAGGTTCTGTACACCCTCCTGTTGTAGTTCAGCCTTGACTGCTGTTGGCCTGTCAATGGGAGGTGTTTACCCCCATGCTGATTGGCTGCAAGGCCTGGCTGCGGTCACCAATGACCATGGAGGATCAGCTGTGTGGTGGGGGCCCACCCCACAGAGCAGGACTTCCTTCAGTGGGGTTTTGGTGCCTGCTGAGTCCGCCTCTTCAGTGTGTTGCTGTGGAGGTGGTTGGGTGGTGCTTTGACATGGTCTGAAGCAGTCCGCTGGGTGTGCTGGCTCTGGGGCCTGCTGGGAGGTGCAGGCCAAGGTCAGCCGCCACCAGTGTTCTGCCAGGGGCCACACAGCTTAAGCTACAGAGCAATCTGCAGGTGGTTGCTACTTGTGCTGGAGGTGTCCAGGTGAGGCCAAGCTGCAAACTAAGGCTGGCTGCTGCTTGTGCCAGGCCTGAGACCACTTAGTGATAGGTATGGGGCATGCTGAGTCCAGATGCTTCTTTGAGAGATTTTAGGAAACTCTGAAGCATGAGCCAAGACAGGCCTTTTCTATGGAAAAGCTACTGGAAACAGCTTGGGTGGGCCTGCAAATTTGGTGGGGTGGGGTCTCAGGGAATTATTAGGGCAGGCCAACAGTGTGAGCCAGGTTGATGGAGACTCAGATATAGCACCTGTCTTCTGGCTCTGTTGGGGAGAGGGGCTCATCAAAGGAACAATGATCTCTGCCAGCACTTTTCTCTGGAAGAAAGCTGCTCCCCACCCCAGCTCTCACCCTGTTGCCCGACAATTCACTTTTTTCCTGTAAGTCCCAGGTGCCTTTTATTCTGTTGCCTCAGTGCTGGGGCTCAGAGGGAGTGAGTCAGAGTAAGTCCACGCCTTGGTTCTTTAAGAAGAACTGCCTGGGACTCCGGAAGCCCTCAATCTCACTCAGCTTCAATCCCCACTAGTTTTTACAGCCAGAAGTTACAGGAACTTATCTTCCCAGCACTGGAACCCTGGACTTGGGGGGCCTGGTGTGGGGCTGGAATCCCTTGCTTCTCAGGGGGGATCTTCGCAGCTGAGATATTCCTCCCAGTTTTTAACCACCACATGTGGATGTGGGACCAGCCTGTTCTGCATCTCCGCTTATCCTACCAGTCTCGATGTGGCTTCTTTAAGTCCCTAGTTGTAGGACTTCTATTCAGCTAGGTTTCAGACAGTTTGGAATGATTGTTGTTCTGTAATTCAGTTGTAATTCTGATATGGTTGTGGGAAAATGGGAGCATTCTGTTTACCTATATCACCATCTTGATCAAAATACAATATTTGATTTATTGCTGAAAGTTCCAATTTACCTACAGTACTCTGTATGTTTATTTTATAGTGTTCTTATTAAGTTCAGTACTTTTACTATTCCATGATATTTTGTATGTACAGTTAAAGCTTTCCTAATATCACGGCTTTTGCTCTGAGGCCAAGATATGAGAGGAAATAATATGGGTCCTGTTTTTTGAGGAATCTGACTTTTGCTTTTGCAGGTATTGTGCTGAGGGACAGTATATAGTATTGTTAGGTTTGGGGGGACAGAGCAATCAAAGTTGTAAAGTGTGTCTGTGGGAGACATAGGATTGGAATCCCTGAATCCTGAGTTTTGCAGTTTCTTTTGCTTTCTGGAAATTTGGCAGCTATATACAGAGACAGAATGTACTGTTTTTGACCTTTTAGAGCATGTCCATTGACTGTTGCAACTTAAAAAAGGAGAGACTCAGTGTTGAAAATCACCTGATATCATGGCCTTTTAGGTGCACCATGTATCAGATCCTCAAAAGAACTTTTAATGCTTCAAACAGTGTTTAGTCTTTGTTCCTTTTGTTGCTAGCTCCTTCATCTTTCTTTTATAGGTGTCTCTGCAAACAGACTCATGGGTGGTGCCATGCAGCTTACCTTCCGCAAGATGGCATTTGACTATTACCCCTTCCACTGGGCAGGTATGAGAATTCTGAATGGGGGCAGTTCTAGCATGGTCCAGGTATTGAAAGCAGATCCCTGGGTTCATCCCTGAATGCCCCACAGGAAGATGTGAGGGATTGCAGCACATGAGGTTTGGAAATAGCCCTCTTCAAGAGGATGTCTTCTGGAAACTTTCAGGGTCTATTGATGATTCTTTATCACTGATGAGAGCATGTAGGGAGGGGATATAGAGCCTGAGATGTTGCCTTTTTTTTTTTTTTTTTTTTTTAAATTTTAGAGAAAGGGGAAGGGAGGGAGAAAGAGAGGAAGGGAAACATCAATGTGCAAGAGAAACATTGGTTGGTTGCCTCTGGCATGTCCCCAACTGGGAACCCAGCCTGCAATCTAGGCATATGCCCTGACTGGGAATTAAACTGGTGACCTTTTCGTTTGCATGCTGGCACTCAATCCATTGAGCCGCTCCAGCCAGGGCAAAGATGTTGCTTTTGATTCTACCCTCTTCCCCTTATTTCCCCCGGTTTTAGAGCCTCTCTCATAGTGTATAGTCAAAGATGGCAGCAGTGAGAAGCTGGCCTTTAGGAACCTTAGGGGAAAATCACATATAGAATCCAGAATAACTTGAGTGCTCTCACTGGATAATTTTTACTTTTCCCAGAGAATTCTGGATTGGGGATGAGGGATCAGAATCTGAACTATGACTATACCAGTGGAAAGGAAAAAATGGAACATTGGAACATGATCTGGGACTAGAATCTTTTTGCTTTCTTTGTTGCACAGGTGATAGCTGCAAACACTGGGTACGACACTGTGAAGCCATGGAGACCCGAGGCCAGTGGGCCCAGAAACTGGTGACGGAATTTCAGAATAAAATGGGGAATTGGCATGAAGAGATGGGTCTGAAATCTCCTTGGCACCCGAGGGTAGACTCTCCTTTCAGGAGGAAAGCAGGTGGGTTATGAGGAGCTGGAGGACTCCGGTGGTCAGTCTCTGGCCATTTACCTATGAATATCCAGTGGAAGTAAAGCACTGGACTAGCTAATCATCTCATCTTATTCCTAGGTAATTTTCACATTCTTATCCCATTGAGAATCATTGGTGACTTTTTTATTTCTTTTTTTAAGTATATTTTATTGATTATGCTATTAATCAATTTTGTTAGTTTTGTTAGTATTGTTAGGTTTGGGGGGACAAAGCAATCAAGGTTGTAAAGTGTGTCTGTGGGAGACATAGGATTGGAATCCCTAAATCCTGAGTTTTGCAGTTTCTTTTGCTTTCTGGAAATTTGGCAGCCATATACAGAGACAGAATATACTGTTTTTGACCTTTTAGAGCATGTCCATTGACTGTTGCATCTCCTTGGCACCCGAGGGTCCTCATTTTTCCCCTTTGCCCCCCTCCACCTGGTACTCTCCTTCTTTCCAGCAGTCCCTCTCTTACTTCATGACCATGGGTCATGCATATAAGTTTTTTGGTTTCTCCATTTCCTATACTATTCTTAACCTCCCCCTGTCTATTCAGTACCTACCAGTTATGCTTCTTAATCCCTGTACTTTTCCTCCATTACCCCTCTTCCTCTTCCCTGATGATAACCCTCCAAATGATCTCCATATCTATGATTTATTCCTGTTCTAGTTGTTTGCTTAGTTTTTGTTTTTTTAGATTCAGTTGTTGATAGTTGTGAGTTTATTGTCATTTTAAAGTTCATAGTTTTGATTTTCTTCTTTTTCTTAAATAAGTCCCTTTAACATTTCATATAATAAGGGCTTGGTGATGATGAACTCCTTTAGCTTGACCTTGTCTGGGAAGCACTTTATCTGCCCTTCCATTCTGAATGATAGCTTTGCTGGAGAGAGTAATCTTGGATGGAGGTCTGTGCTTTTCATCATTTTGAATAATTCTTGCCAGTCCCTTCTTGTCTGCAAAGTTTCTGTTGAGAAATCAGCTGATAGTCTTATGGGAACTCCTTTGTAGTAACTCTTCACTTTTCTCTTGCTGCTTTTAAGATTCTGTCTTTATCTTTAACCTTTGGCATTTTAATTACGATGTGTCTTGGAGTGGGCCTCTTTGCATCTATCTTGTTTGGGACTCTGTGCCTTTGGACTTGTATGTCTATATCCTTTGCTAAATTAGGAAAGTTTTCTGTCCTTATTTTTGCAAATAAGTTTTCAATTTCTTGCTCTTCCTCTTCTCCTTCTGGCCTCCCTGTATGATTCAGGTGTTGGCATATTTGGAGATATCCCAGAGTCTTCTTATTCTCTCCTCTTTTTTTTTAATTCTTATTTTTTCATTCTGTTCTGGTTGACTGTTTATTTCTTCCTTATGTTCCAAATCATTGATTTGAACCCTGGCTTTCTTCCCTTCACTGTTGGTTCCCTGTGAATTTTTCTTTATTTCACTTCGTGTAGCCTTCATTTCTTCTCCTATGTGTTTGCTGTACTCAGTTCTCTGAGCATCCTTATCACCAGTGCTTTGAACTCTGCAGCCGGGAGGTTGGGTCTCTCTGTTTCATTTAGTTCTTTTTCTGGGGTTTTGTCCTGTTCTTCCATTTGGACCTTATTTCTTTGCCTCCTCAATTTGGCAGCCTTCCTGTGTTTGTTTCTGTGTATTAGATAGAGCTGCTTTGACTCCCTGTCTTATTGCACTTGTTAAGTTGTGTGGGGCAGAACCTTAGGTATGTGCCTGGCCTGCTTCACTGCTTTGTGGTTATGTAGGTGGGGAAGGAGTCAGAGAAGGGACAGTGCCACTGCCTGGCTGTTGGAGGCTTTCCCGGCACTTACCCCATTTCTAGTCACTTCACCCATGTCCTGTATGCTACTTGAGCCCCTCTAGCCATTGCCCTAGTAGTGATTCCTAGAGTGCCTAGGTTTGCGTCCATTCTAGGACTGTGTAGGCTAGTTAAACAGACTCTCCTGAGAGACTGGCTGTTTCTTCCCCTGCCCCACCGCCCACTGGTTTTAACAGCCAGAAGTTATGAGGCTTTATTTCTCTGGTGCTGGAACTCTGGGCTGTGCAGTCTGGCCTGGGACTGGGATTGCCTGCTCCCCAGTTATCCCTCTAGATTTTTATCTGCCACATGTGAACGCGAGACCGCCCGTTCCACCTGCCGCTGCCACCACCTTACTGCCTCGCTGTGGCTGCACCATATCCTCTCTACCCTCGCCGCCTGTCTCCACCTCTCCTATCTGTCTGGATGAATATGGCTTCTTTAAATCCTTGGTTGTTGGACTTCCATACAGTTCGATTTTTTGGCTGTTCTGGGTGTTTTTTGTTTTAAGGTTAGTTGTGATCCTTTTTATGGTTGTGCAGTGAGGTGAAGTGTGTCTATGTATGCCTCCATCTTGACTGGATGACTTTTTTCTTTATGGAGTTGTGTTTGTCTCCAGGGATGGCTGCAGTGTTGAGAGAGGTTGTTATCACCTCTATTCAGTAGGCTGTTGCTCTGGTTTTAAGGCGAATACAATTTTTGAGTTCTATCCAGAAGCTAGATGGAGCAATCTTTTCTATGTATATTGTAGCATTAAGGATTTTAGGATCATTACTTTGTAATCCTAATTAGGATTTTTATTTCCTAATTCTATTAATAAGAGAGATGAATGTGTCTGAATCTTTCCCACCTTTTCATTTTTATTTAGATTCTCTCTCCAGTCCTCGAAAGAACCCCCTTGAGAGAAGCCCCCCTCAAGGCCGGCATGCTGCCTTTCAGCCTCCAGCATGGAATCGCTTACGTTCTAGCTGCATGCTAATACGGGTGGACGACTTGGACATCCACCAGGTGAGGAGCCTAGGACACAGGTAAATGTGGTTGGAAAGTGGTGGGGCAGTTCATTTGGAAGGCAACAAGTGTGAACAAAGTTGTGCGGGCTGTCTCCCTGACTTCTGGGATAGGTGGACATTTCCTCTTGTTTCCTTCTGAGCATAGCTGCTGAGTTCAGGACTTGAGATTCCCCCAGTTTCCTTTGAATACCCTGCTACAAACTGTACAAACCTTCCTTTGAAAAAATGAACTTGTGGATAACATTAGGCAGGTGTGACAATGCCTGGAATACGTGTGAAATATGTATAAAAACACTATGCTCCCTGGAACAGATGTTGGATGGATAGTAGAGGAAATTGAGAAAATTGTATTCTGGGCACAGCATAGATGCTAACAGCAATTTGTGATTGCATAGGTTTCTACAGCTGGACAGCCCAGTAAGAAGCCATCTACACTCCTTTCTTGCAGTCGGAAACTTCACAACCTACCCACTCAGGTCTCTGCTATTCATATTGAGTTCACAGAATATTATTTCCCTGATAATCAGGAGCTTCCAGGTAAGCACTGGAGCTGGTCATTTCTTACTGTCGAAGGCATGTTCTTCCCATTTGTCAGACTTGGAGCTACTACTTATATTCTCATTTGTTATTAGGAGTTTAGGGTGTTTGTGTTAGCTTAGCACACCTTTGTTACAAACTCTGCCCTGTATAAATATGTACCTTTGCTCTCTTGATAGTAAAAGGAATGGTAGCTGGTAAGTAGGAGTCAAGCTGCTACTTTGTACATAGGGATTCTTTTTTCTCTGCTTTCCAGTTCCCTGTCCCAATCTCTACATTGAGTTAAATGGTCTGACATTTACTATGGATCCTGTCAGCTTGCTTTGGGGAAACCTCTTCTGCCTGGATTTATACCGTAGCTTGGAGCAGTTCAAAGCTATCTACAAACTGGAAAATTCAAATCAGAAAGATGAACACTTGGACATCCGACTGGATGCCCTCTGGTTGAAGGTAGGGAGAAAGTGGGATTTTTGTTCCTCTTGTTCCCTCAGAACAGCCACAGATGCATTTCTCCCATTGCAGCCTAAATGGTCTTTCATTGTGTGTTAATGGTGGGGTGTGGAGATACTCATATGGCCATTCTGAGTTGGGTTTCATTTTCTCTCTGAAGGTGAGTTTTCCGCTAGAGAAGAGAGAGCAGGCTGGGTTGTATCGGCCCCAGGCCCTTGTCTTCTCTGCATCAGGTATGACTGCCACCAATACACGTCATGCTCCACACTGTAGCTGTCCAGACTTCCGCAGTCTCTTCCAGGGATTTGATGCTGCTGAGTTCTTCCATTCCAGTTATGTTCAGTTCCCCAAGGTTCCAGGTGGCTTCAGCCTCCTGCACATGCTTTTTTCACATCATGCCTTCAAGATGGATTCCAGCCTCCCTCATCCTAATACCTTACCTCCCCAGAGGCCTAAGGCTTCCCAGGATCTTTGGTCCATCCACTTCCCCCAGATCTCCTTGGACTTTGAGGGAACAGAGAACTTCAAAGGCCGTACCTTTAATTTTGTGGCACCCTTCCCCTTGTCCATTTGGGCCTGCCTGCCCCTTCGCTGGCAGCAAGCCCAGGCACAAAAGCTCCTTTTGGCTGCAGAAGGGAGGCTGAAACCTTCAGCCAGCTTTGGCAGTTCTGTTCAGTCCGAGGCCCTTGCCCCTAATACCGTGTCCCATCTGAGATCAAAGACTGAGCATGATTTGAAAAGCCTGGTAGGCCTTATGGAAGACATGGAAATTCTGAGAGAAGGCAGTGGTGGCGCGGACAACAAAGAGCTTCTGACAGAGCAGGAGGATGTGGCAGATGTTCACGTTCTTGTACATTCCCCTGAACATGTCCGTGTGAGGCTTGACCACTACCAGTACTTGGCTCTGCTCCGCCTGAAGGAGGTGCTACAGGGTCTTCAGGAGCAGCTGACTAAGGATACAGAGGCCATGACTGGGTCTCCCCTGCAGGACCAGACAGCTTGCATTGGGGTCCTCTTCCCTACTGCTGAGGTGGCGCTGCTCATGCATCCTGCCCCTGGTGCTGCGGAAGCTGACTCTGCAGGTTCAGATACCACCAGCCTTATAGATTCAGAGCTGTCTCCTTCAGAGGATCGGGAGCTGAAGTCTGATGCCTCCTCAGACCAGGGCCCAGCGAGCCCTGAGAAGGTTCTGGAGGATAGTGGCATTGAAAATCCAGATGCATCCCAGGATAGGCCATTGTTTCTCCATAGTAATGGAGAATTGCAGGACTCAGATTCTGTTGCACAGCAGTTGGCAGGAAAGGGCCGTGAGGCGGTCGATTCCCTACAGGCCAAGAGACTGAGCAGAGCCGAAGCGTCTAGCTCATCAGCTGCTCTGAAGTCCCCAGGCGTTAGGGATATTGCTGCGAATGGACAGGGTGAGATTTTGCCCTTGAAGAACATTGAGGGAGAATTGTCAAGTGCTATTCACATGACCAAGGATGCCACCAAGGAGGCTCTTTATGCCACCATGGACCTCACCAAGGAAGCTGTGTCTTTGACTAAAGATGCCTTCAGTCTGGGCAGAGACCGAATGACCTCCACCATGCACAAGATGTTGTCCCTGCCCCCAGCCAAGTAAGTGGTTCTTTGCCTCCTTGAATTGCCCTATCTCTTCCTCCTAGTTGTGGTAATTGGACTTAGAGTCTCTTACTGTGAACATTTTTAGATTAGAACATACTCTATAGTCCAGAAGAATGTGTAGAATAGCCTATTTAATGTGGCAAAGCCTTTGGTTTTCAGAGCTGCCTACAGGGCAGTGGGGGAATTTTCAGGTTACTTGGAGGATACAGGAACACTAATTGAGAGACTCATTTTCAGGCTACATTTAATTCTGTGGTAGGGGAAGAATCTGAAATTAAAATAACACAAAATCCCATGTATTTTCTTGTGCTTCCACATACTGTAACCTGTTCTCTGGGCAGTTTTCAAGTCAATATTTATTGCTGCTTAGAATTAAATTGTCTCCTCTTTCTCTAATTCACTGTTATTGATATAGATATGCTATATCAGAATAATAATTCCTGGCATCTGTATGCTATTTTACTCTTTTCAGTGGGCTCTAGTGTAGCATTTAGTTTGATTTGATCCCCACAGCAGCCTGGTGAGGTAGCTACAGATATTTGCATTCTTAGTTTAAGCTGAGAAAACTGAGTCCTTGGAGAATGTGCCCATGAGTCCCGTGTTGTGGGTAAAAACCTGGGGCTTTGGATTTGCTCCTTCTGGAATACCTTATCAACACCTGCTGGAGGAATAGAAAAGGAATAGTTTCACCCACTTGTTCAGCAATAATTTTTGAGCCCTACTTTGTGTCATTCTCTGTGTTAGGCACTGGAGATAAGTAGGGAGTAAGCAGAAAAACAGAAGAGTAGAAAGGTACAGATTTTTTCCATTGGGTGCCTTGTGGTTTTAGGAAAGATAATGAAGAGTATGGGAAATCTTTGCTAGGGCACTTTGTGGTTTGTGGGCCATAGGAAAACTAGTGGCTATAGCATTTTTGTGTAAATGGATTGTCTTAAGTGGGTTTTTCAACATTTATTGGGGGTGTACTAGAACCTGCTAGGCATAGGTAGTCTAGGAGGAAGGAGAGAGGAAAACTTAGAAGGGTGAATGTTATAAGAATTCTAGCCAATATTTATTGAGTGCTTTCCATGTGTCAGGAAATGTCTTAAATACTTAGAATATTAATCCATTGAATTCTTGTAACAACCCTATAAGGCAGGTACTGATATCACTCCCCATTTTACAGATGAGGAAGCTGAGGCTCAGAGAGGTAAGAAACTTGCTTAAGACCACACAGCATGTGAGTGGTAGGGTGAGGGTTGAAAGCCTGGACTTCCAGTCACCAAATGTACTGCTGCCTTTTCTAAATGTAGAAGAGTAAGGGAGATGGGAAAAGAGGAGAGGTGGAAAAGAGGCAAGACAGATGTGTGACACAAGCTCTTTTTTAAACAGTGGCCAACAATGACTTCCTCTATGCTCAGGCCAGTGGCCCTTTCTCAGCCCTCCTTACACGCTGGACTCCCCTGTGGCAGTTTCTCCCACCAGTCAGCTCATCCTGAGCATGTGTGACCTGCCCAGCTACTCTTGGGAAGAAGGAACCTTTTTTTCTTTCTTGGCTGCTCTCTTCTTCCTTGTATCCTATAAATGTAACTATTCCACAGGGCTAGGTTGTCCATGTTCTCATCACCTTGGTCATAATTTTTTTAAGTTATAAAACTGACTGTGCTTATGATATTGTTGATAATGTAGAAAATAGAAAATAAGAAGAAAACATGAAAGTCACTTGTTATGACACTATCCAGAGATAGCCACTATTTACATTTGGATCTAGTTTCTTCCAATGTTTATACGTATATTTGTGTATCCATGTGAATGCTTATATGTGTATACAGATTTATACACAAATATTGTTTTTACAGTGGGATTGTAATATTTCTATAGGGTGTAGAAAATATCCAGTTTTATTCACTTAATATTTTGTTGTAAATATTTTCCCATTCATTAGGCGTTTAATTTTTAATTGCTCTATTATGTTCTAGAAAATGAATGTATCATAATTTATTCATTCATTCCATCACTTAATGTTTCCAGTTTTTCTCAGGTATAAGTGACGCTGTGTTAAATGTCCTTATTTTTGTGAACATTACTGTTCATGAAAATCTAAATCTTCAAAATAAAAATCTAGAAAAAGAATTATTGGGTCCAACATTATAAACATTTTTAAGGTTCTTGATCGCATGTGCCAAATTTTCAGAAGGTTTATATCAGTCTGTGCTTTTGAATACTTTTTCTCCACGTTATTTTATCCAGAAGTGAGTTTTCTCACTTCTGCCATATTCCATATTTTTAGTTCTGATTTCTTCCCCCTCCTCTGCTCTTGTTTTAAAACTATCTACTGCACATAGTTCCACATGGATGTCCCAGGGGTGCCTGGAACCTCACATGTATCAAACTAAATTTCTTATCTCTCCCCAGACCAGCCTTTCTTTTTTTGGTAGCATCAGTCTGCTCATTCAAGTTCTACATTTTTGCTCTTCCAGTCATTTGTTAAGTTCTGACCGCAATTCTTAGAGCAGGGATTCTCAAACTTCAGCATGCCTCAAGATCAGCTGGAGGGCTTGCTAAAACATGCATTGCTGAACCCTGTCCAGAGAATCCCTTATTTATGGAATCTCCTATCAGTTCCTATCTGTTCCCACATGTCAATTATTTTAGAAAACTATTAATTGAATTCCTCATTGGAAGCCTTTCCTTTCTAACTTGTTTGAAGAGGCCAGGCCAGACTTCCTAAAACAGGTATGAGCTTGTTCTTTCCCTACTCTAAAATTTTCAAGTTTTTTCCTTTTACCCCCTGAATTTAGTTGATCTTTTTAGTGTGGCAAAATCAATTATTATATTTACATGGTACTTCACAGTTTTTTAGAAATAATAGACTTTATTTTTTAGAATAGCTCTAGGTTCATAGTAATATTGAACAGAAGGTACAGAGATTTCCCATATATCTCTTGCACTTTATAGTTTTCCAAACACCTTCATATATAATCTTTTATCTAGGGCTTTCTATAATTTGGCTGCAAGCAATGTGGTAAAATGAAAAGAGTACTTTGCAAGAAGGTAGTAGACTTCATTTTTTCTTAATTCCACCTTTAACTGTGACCTTGAGTCAGTTTCTTCATCTGTAAAATGGGAGGGTACAATTAAAAGGTCTTTGAAGGCTTCTCTTCACTATGTTATGCCTTTCTAACTTTACCTTCCATTACTTTCTCCAACAAAATTTATGTTCCAGCTGGGTTGAGTTACTTACTAGTCTCTAGAGGTACTCTTTGTTTTCTGGAGTGCCTTTGCTTATGCTTTTTCTTCCTTATTAAATGTCCTTTTCCCTATCTCTTTCACAGTCCTTCAGGGACCAGCTCAAATGCTGTCTCCTTCCACAAAGCCATTCTTGACTCCCTTCTCATTCTTTCCCCTCTCTGATATTGGCTAGCCTTTGGCTTGTACCTCTGTCCCTCTCTTTTGGTGTGTGTAACTTACTCCCATATAATGTTATATATGTATGAGTCTCCTCTCTCCTTCTAGATTATAAATTTTCAAGGACGGGGATATCTTATTCATCACTCTGCCATGTGCCTAGTATGGTGCCTTGTGTACAGGAGTTATTCAGTAAATACTTGTGGAATGAATGTGGGTGGATTCAGGTGCCATTCATTAGCACAGGGTTGTATATGGTCTCTTCTCTGTATGGGATGACCTTAAATAACCTTGACATTTATTGTTGAGCTGGTTATACAGTTTGAAATGCTGGAATATGAGGATTTAGAAAGTCCAGCTGTTGAAAAATGGTGACTCCCTATGGCAGGTAATAGTTGAAATCAAAGTTTGTGTATATAATAACTGGGCTGAAAGGGATGGGTATTGCAAAGGGATGGGACAGTGTTTCTGAAGCCACAGTGGGTTTTGTTTTTGTTTTGTAAACAGGGAACCCATTGCCAAGATAGATGAAGGGGTGGCAGCCCCAGTGAGTGGAGGTGCTGCGCGATTCCGATTTATGTCCATGAAGAGGACAGTATCTCAGCAGTCATTTGATGGTGTCTCACTGGATAGCAGTGGCCCTGATGACCGGATTTCAGTAGACAGCGATGGCAGTGATAACTTTGTGATGCTCTTGGAGTCTGGTAAGTGGAAGCAGAGCCAGCCAACATTCTAGAACTCCAGAAAGGGTTCCTTCTGCTGCCTGTATTCAGATGGGCAGGATGCAGAAGGAGCTGACATTTGATGAAGTAAATCTTTTCTTAACCAAAACTAAAAACAGAAGTTTAATGGATTTGTGACTTCAGCTGTATCCCCACATCTTCTAGGTTATTGTTTAGTGCTTGACCTTTATCACAGAGCAAGAGTAGTCTTACAGCCACCTAGTTGCAGTGGTAGGATTCATTTATTGCTGGTGTCAGTGGTGTGTGTGTGTTTATTGTCTGGTTATTGCCTAACTATGTTATAATTGGAAAACAAGTAGGAGCTTTTTGTCTATGATAAAATGAATAGCTTTTAGGAATTAGATCAATTACCACTGGAAATTACATTAGTTCTTTCAGTTTATTGAAATGCAAGATTTTAAAGGTGTCCCTTAAATATCTAAATGAAAAAATAAAAAGACTATAAAATAAAATCTGGCTGGTAAGTGCCCTTGTTTTATTATTATTAACTTCTTATAGAAAATTTCAAATATATATAAAAGTAGACAGAATGAAGTAGTGAATCCTTGTATACGTAGCTTCAGGTATTAAGTATGCATGGTCACAGAGACATTCGGCAGCAGAGGTAAACACAGCTCACCTCCTTGCACAAATACATCAAAATTCCAACTAAAATATAGAGCAGCCATCAGTCAGAACCGTCAGAAATCGAGTTGAATGGATGTCTGACAAGTACAGAATTAAAGAAACCACATTCATTCAGACTTGTAGGAGGTGCCAAGATGCAGAATGGGCTGATCCCACATCCACCTGTGGTGGCTAAAAATTCAGTAGGGAAACCTCAGAAGTGGAGAGTCCCAACTCCACACTGGGCCACCAGCCCAGTGTTCCAGTGTCAGAAAGATATGTCCCCATAACCATTGGTTACAAAAACCAGTGGGGATTGAGTTGATGGAAGAAACTTCTGGAATCCCAAGCAGTTCCTCTTACAGAACCCACACATGGACTCACCTACACAGACTCACCCCCTCTGAGCTCCGGTGCTGGGATGGCAGCTTGAAAGGCACCAGCGGCAAATGGAGAAACTGAAGTGTCTAGCATCAAGGCAGAAGCTGGGGGACATTTTTCTCCCAGATGGAAAGGAGGGCAGAGGCCATTATCCTTTTTCTTTTTCTTTTTTAAAATTATATTTGATTGATTATGCTATTACATTTGTACCCATTTCGCCCCCTTTGCCCCTCTCCACATAGCACGCCCCCCCCGCCTCAGGCAATCCCCACACCATAGTTCATTTGTCCATGGTATTAGCTCTACCTAATACATAGAATAAACATAGGAAGGCTGCCAAAATGAGGAGGCAAAGAAACATGGCTCAAATGAAAGAGCAGATCAAAACTCCAGAAAAAGAACTAACAAAATGGAGATAAGCAATCTGTCAGATGCAGAGTTCAAAACATTTGTTATAGGGATGCTCAAGGAACTTAGTGAAGACCTCAATAGCACAAAGAAGATCTCCAAGTCAGAACTGAAGGATACACTAATTGAAATAAAGAACAATTTACAGGGAAACAACAGTAGAATGGATAAAACCAAGAATCCAGTCAATGATTTGGAATATAAAGAAGCAAAAAACAACCATGCAGAACAAGAAGAAAAAAGAAACCAAAAAAATGAGGACAGTGTCAGCAACCTCTGGGACAACCTCAAGCATTCCAACATTCACATCATATCAGTTCAGAAGAGAAGAGAAAGAGCAAAGAATTGGAACTCTATTTGAAAAAATAGTGAAAAAAGTTTTCCTAATTTGGTGAAGGAAATAGACATGCAAGTTCAGAAAGCTCAGAGTCCCAAACAAGATGGATACAAAGAGGCACACTCTTAAGACACAGCATAATTAAAATGGCAAAGGATAAAGATAAAGACAGACTCTTAAAAGCAGGAAGAGAAAAGCAGTTATCTACAAGGGAATTCCCATAAGGCTGTCAGCTGATTTCTCAAAAGACACTTTGCAGGCTAGAAGGGATTGGCAGGAAATATTCAAAGTTGTGAAAAGCAGGGACCTACAGCCAAGTTTGCTCTATCCAGTAAAGATATCATTTAGAATCCAAGGGCAGATAAAGAGTTTCCCAGACAAGAAAAAACTAAAGGAGTTCATCATCAGCAAACCATTATTATACAAAATGTTACGGGGACTTATCTAAGAAAAAGAAAAAATCAAAACTATGAACAATGAAATAGCAAAAAATACGTATCTATTAGCAATTGAATCTAAAAAACAAACTAAGCAAACAAGAAGAACAGAGACAGAAACATGGATAAGGAGAGAGTGTTTTGATGGTTGACAGATTAGGTGTGGGTATGGGGAATGGATGAAGACGTGAGGGGATTAAGAAGTACAGATAGATAGTTACAGAATAGCTTTCAGGATGTAAAGTACAGTACAGGAAATGGAGTAGCCAAAGAACCTATATGCGTTACCCATGGACATGAACTATGGTGTGGGAATTGCCTGGAGGAGTAGGGGGTGCTGGGTAGAGGGGGGAAAAGGAAAAGTTGGGACAACTGTAATAGCATAATCAATCAAATATAATTAAAAGAAGAAAAATAATAAAGTGATGCATAGAGTTAAAAAAAGAACTCATGGGGTCATTCTTTTTTCACACATATTTTTGCCCACTTCCCTTCTTCCCATATTATTTTGAAGCAAATCCCCAGCATAACATTTTATCCATAAATATTTTTATTATGCATCTCTGGAGAATACAGACTATTAATTATAAAATATACATAAATTTACCATCTTAACTATTTTTAACTATAATTCAGTTGGCATTAAGTACATTCAAATTTTGTGTAACCATCACCATTACACATCTCCAGAACTCCTTCCTTCCTCCCTCTCTTCCTCAATCCCTCCCTCCCTTCTGCTATCTCTCCCTCCTTTCCTACCCTCCTCCCTCCCTCCTTCCCTCCCTTGCTTCCTTTTTAAAAAGATTTTATTTTAAGAGAGGGGAGGGAGAAATACATCAGTGTGTGGTTGCCTACTGGGGGTCTGGCCTGGAACCCAGGCATGTGCCCTGACTGGGAATCGTACCAGTGACTCTGGTTCACAGGCTGGTGCTCAGTCCACTGAGGGCTCCAGAACTCTTTTCATCTTGAAAAAAATGAAACTCTACCCTTTAAACAATAGTTTGTTATTCCCTCCTTCTCCAGTCCCTGTTAACCATCATTCTACTTTCTCTGTGAATATATGACCATCCTAGGTGCCTCATGAGTGGGAGCATACAGTACTTGTCATTTTGTGACTGGCTTTTTTCACTTAATGTGATGTCCTCAAACTTCATCCACATTGTAGTATGTCACAATTTTCTTCACATTTTGTTAATCCATATATCCATCCATGGACACTTGGGTTGCTTATATTTACAGACTTTTAAAAAATTAGGTGAAATACCATTATCACGCTTAAAAATTAATAGTAATCCCTTAAGTTAATCAAATATGTAGTCAGCCTTCATATTCCAGTTGTCTCGTGTCATAAAAGTTTTGTTTTTACAGTTTTATTGTTTTACAGATTGTATTTGAACATAAGTTTTTGACTTTCAAACTCTTTTGCTGTCTTTCTTACGCAGAGTCTGGCCCAGAATCTCTTCCACCAGGATCTCTTCCAAATGCCTTGTATAGTGCTGGTGTTCAAGGGAGCCCTGTTGTGGATAGTTATGACCAGGGGTCACCGGAGGCCAACAGTTTGGTCTCACCCAGTGGGGAAGACCTCAATTTTCACCCGGTCAGCTGCTCTCTCTTCTTCTCTGCAGAGGGTAGGCTCTAGGCTGGAAGCTCAGGACTCAGCTAACAGTGTCTCCTTTTGCAGGTCTCAGTTCTGGTTCTCAAAGTGGATGAAGTATGTTTTGGGATTGAGGTACGTGGGGAGGACCTGACTGTGGCCCTGCAAGCAGAGGAACTGAGCCTCCAGCAGCTGGGCACCGTGGGACTCTGGCAGTTTCTGCATGGACAGTGCCTGGGTGAGGATGGCGCCATTGCAGGAGAGCTGGTGGGATTTGTCTGGGGCAGCCACAGCTTAACTGGCTCCTATCACTGCTGTAGAGGCAGCTGCCCTAGCCAAGCCTGTGGCCCTTCTCTCCAGTAGCCATTAGGGGGAGGAAGAACTCTAACAAAGCCTTTTTCTTACAAGAAACTTCCCCAAGTCTTTCTGGGGTTTTGCATTCAATAGGTTATTCTCTATGTTTATTTCCTGCATGCTCCTTAAGCTTCTACATGAGGATAGTGTCCACTTATTGTATGTGTGGCAGCTAACATCAAATAACTGACCAGGGAACATCTGTCATTCAGATTAAATCCTTTGTTGCAAATTATCGTTTATACTTTAGAAGATGACAGGAAAAATCTGGGCTTGTGCTACATGCTTCACTTAAAAACATTTTTTTCAAAATATTGAGTATATACTAAAGAATACTTTTAACTGTATGTAAGGCATAAAAAATAATAATACAATGAACCCAGGTTTAATAAATAAAACACCTAGTTTAATAAATAAAACAGTACCATTAACTTTGAAGCCCTGGGAACTATCTCCTGAACCTTCTTCTGCCTCTCATCTGTCACAGGGAATCATGGCATCCTGAAGTTTGTATTTACCATTCTCTTGCTTTACAATTCTTCCACATGTGTTTGTATCAATGTATTATTTAGCTTTGGAGGGTTTTGAGTTATTTTAAATGGAATTATAGTTTATATTCTTTTGTGATTTGCTTCTTTCGAGTAACATGATATTCTTTATAGTCTAGGTTGTTAAGTTAGCTATAAATCATTTTCACTACATAATATTTTATTGTATAAATATACAACTTTTTTAGCTTTTTTATTTTTTTAAAGGTTGTTTGCTTTTTTTTTTTTTTTAAAGATTTTATTTAGTTATTTTTAGAGGGGAATAGAGGGAGGGAAACATCAATGTGTGCTTGCCTCTTGTGAGCCCCCTACTGGGGATCTGGATGGCAAATGAGGCATGTGCCCTGACTGGGAATCGAACAAACAACCCTTGCTTTGCAGGCTGGCACTCAATCCACTGAGCCACACCAGCCAGGGCCTCTTTTTTTCTTTTTAAAAACAGCTTTTTTGAGGTACAATTTCAAGTTGTTCCATATCCTTGGCTACACCTGAGATTGGTCTTCATGGAGTTTTGAGATTAGCATAGATTTTGCTTGGCTTTATCAGAGAGACTTGACTTTCTATGAGAAGACCAAGACTTGAAGAAAGGAAGAGACATTCAAATTTTGCAGAGTTGAGGATTCTGTGTTTTCAGAGCTTCTTGTTGGCCATTATTAGCAAGGCCAGCTTTTTTTCATCCTTAATTTCTCTTCCACCATGGGAACTACAGCGAAGTAGCTAAGCCCATGGTTTGTGAAATTAGGCAGTTTGTATTCAAAGCTTATCTTTGCTATTATAAGTTGTGTAACTTTGGACAAGTTTTTCTCTGTGTCTTAGTTCCTTCACCCCTAAGATGAAAAGAATGATAATACTTTTGGAATAGGGTTGTTATGAATATTAAATATATGTAAAGTGTTTAGAACAGTCCCTGTTAATTAATGTTTTCCTTCTGTCTTCTCAAAGGTACGAGCTTTCAAGAATCCTCAACTTTGAAGACTTGCCACATCAGGCCAGCTGTGGGCCTTCGCTTTGAGGTGGGGCCTGGTGCAGCTGTTCATTCCCCGCTGGCCACAAAGAATGGCTTTCTGCACTTGTTGCTTCAAGGCTGTGATCTTGAGCTGGTCACCTCTGTGCTCAGTGGTCTGGGGCCCTTCTTAGAGGATGAGGAGATGCCAGTGGTAGTTCCCATGCAGCTTGAGCTCCTGAACTCCAGGATCACCCTAAAGGTAAGAGGAAATTTTGGCTTTTACCCTAGATTTTGTCAGGCAAGGAATTCTGGCAGTGACAGCTCTTAACCTCTTGACTTCTTATTGTAAAAGGGGCTGAGGATTGAGTGAGGAAATCCTATTAGCATTCTTCGTCAGTGTTATAACAATACATAAATATATGCTGCTGTCAAAAAATCCTGGGTTCAGATCAGACCTTTTCTGTAGCCCTAACCTTGTCTTTGGCATGCCACCTGACTATGTGTTTTGCATCTCTAGAATGGGACAGGATCAGTTATGTGTCTTACACCTTACAAGAATGTATGGATAAACAATGACATAAAAATGCTTCAGACTGAAAGGTAGAAGCATGGGTTGTTATTTGAATTGCTCTAACTTGGTTGGGGGCATCACGTGCTTTCATCTTTCCTATAGGATGATATCCCCCCCATCTATCCTACGTCTCCAGGCCCCATCCCCATCACTCTGGCCATGGAGCATGTTGTGCTGAAGCGGAGTGACGATGGTGTATTCCATGTAGGCGGTGAGTTGGGCTTGTCAGCCCCCTGGCTTCTCTGCCTTTTTTCTCCTGTGAGGGGATAGGTGACAGCTAGGAATTGTCTGCATGTTGACAGCAATTTGTTATTTAGAACCTTTACTTTTTTTCCAGGTGCTGCTCAGGACAGAACATCAGCTGAAGTGTCTAAAAGTGAGAAGAGACAGCCCCCAAAAGAACAGGTGTTTTTGATGCCCACAGGGGAGGCTTTGGGACAGCAGGTGAGGACCTAACTGAATAATATCTTTCCCATAAACCCTTAGGGGCTGTAATCACAGAAGCTGATAAAAAGCAGAAGCTCAGAAGGTTTCTTGTGCTGTGTACAGATGGGCTTTTGTCACCTAGCAGCAGCCTCCAGAAGTGGTGAATAGAGGATGTGAATCAGAAGCTGGAGGTGGATGGTTGCTGATCATATATTCCACCTGTTGTTGTTCCTGTACCCAATGAACTCTGGAGAGGGGATTAGGCTGTTAGGAAAAAATCTAGTTGGGTTCTGTTGACCATTGGCCAAACGTACAGATCTTTCTGCCTGAATTCTTCCACCTTGTTCCCTTACGGAGTGTTGTTTTCTTTTCTTTCTTTTTTTTTTTTTTTTTTAAGGTGTGTTACCTTATTAACTGTGAATTACTTATTGTTCTTCAGGTGAAAGAACTGACTGCCCTACAAAAGGAACTGATAGAAACTAAACAAGCATTGGCCAATGCCAACCAGGATAAAGAAAAACTTCTTCAGGAGATTAGGAAATATAACCCCCTCTTTGAGCTCTGATAGCAGTGGCTCAGCCATCTGTGCCAAGGAGAAAGGAGATCACCAGCAATACCACCACCTATGACAGAAGGCAGCCTCCAGTGTTGAATGAGTAGGCCTAGGATGCCAGAGGAACCTGGGAGTGCTTAACTCACTCCTTTCTGCCAGCTGTTCTAATTTGGATGGCATATAGGGCAAAGCACGGCCAAGTTCCAGGAAATTGGGGGCAGCTTTGTGTGTGGCTCAAGCATCATGTCTTGCCTAGATAAAGCCTTTTGGTCCTCTACACACCAGGTGGAATTTTCTCCACACTATAGAGCCATTTCACCACCTGGTTTCATGAGAGACATTTGCCGCCTCCACAACCTGTGTGAACAAGGGAAAGTACTCACCACCTCAGTCACCCACAGAGCCACCAAAGATTCTATATCCTAAAGCTTCCTGTAGCAGACCTAAACAGTCTTTGGCCTGAACTCTGACCATGGTCGTAGAGTCGAACGGGAAACAGCCAGCAGAGGCACAAGAATAAGGGGTACTGGGACCCTGCTTGTTTTAGAAAGGGAACCAAGCTCATATCATCTTGGCTGATATTACAATCAGAGTTTTCAGGGTGAAGCTTCCTTTGTTCTGCTTTCATTATTGTGATGCTGTCGTAGAAAGTAAACAACAGTAGTGATTCAGTTGTATCATCTTTCCCTTCTACAACACAATGTATTTGAAATTTAAGTCAAGAAAAAAGTATTCATTCTGAGCTAGGTTGAAGGCACGACATGGTAGGGATCAATAGGGGGCTTGATTCTGAGCCCCAGGTGCCCCCCTAGAGTCCTGTCTGTCTTCCATGGCTGTACCTCAGGGGTGGTTTCTTCTGTCTTCCTGGGGTCCCTAGCACATCTGTTTCCCCAGCACGATGACTTTCTACCAGCATTCTCCTTAGAACTTGGTTTGGGATCTGAAAATGAGTTTTAAACTGTAACAAACATCTCAATCTTTGCGTCTCACTCCCCTCTATAACTGTGGCTTTTTAAAATCATGCAATTTTTGATGTAAGTTAAAAAAATACCCTTCAACCTATGAAGGTTTTGCCTCTGCCCCCCAAAAGTACAACTTCCTCTTCCTCATCCTCCTTTTTTTTTTAAACCTAATTCTTCCCTAATGCTCTAACTTCATCTGTAATGTTTTGTATACTTCAAGCTGTGTTAATTGGACAGAAATTCATCAGCTAAGTCACCTTGAACTGGCAGGATTGTAAACTAGTGATTCAGTAGTGTCAGTAAAGTCTTAATCACATATGACCTATTGAAGGAAAGATACAATGTTTTCCCTATGGGGAAATTTTGCTTGATTTGTATATTGTAGATTTTTGATGATAAACGTGTTCAAGAAGGAACAAGATCTAATTTGTTCAGACTTTTGAAGAACTTTTGTCAAGTTCTTCATTAAGGCAATTTTAAAAGCAGCAGTTACTATGAGATTGTGGGGAATATTTTGTCATACTTAGAAACTTAAGAATAAACATCTTTTTGGAGAGAATGTTAACGGGAAGTTTCCTCCTGGTTGATGCTTGGTTTAACCTTACTTAAGATTTTTATAAATAACCTGAAAGTAGGAAATTATAATGCAATTTTATATGTCACTACTTCCGGGCATTGAAAGGTAAACCAGAAGAGACTTAAAAAAAAAAGCAAAACTGCAGAAGGGCCACAAGCCAAACTGTGGATACTAAAGAAAGTGACAGATGAGGTTTGGTGTAGGTAAATGTGAAGTGATGCACTTAGAGAAAAACCAGCAGCCAATGAAGCAGTGAGCTCTGTTAGAACCCAGGAAGGAAACCTAGGCATTCCGTTGCTGGGAGGGGGTGGGGTCAGTGTGCTGCTGTGGCCAAAAGCCCAACTGCCTCATCAGGAAGGGCACATGGAGACAACACAGAAAACAGACCTCACACAGAACCATACTAGTATCTTAAATTATCTGTGCACTTTGGACAATCTTACTTATAAAATACAGATCCAGACAACAGCAAAAGTTACCAGGTTAATGGCATTTAGATGAGGGCTCCAATTCTGGAATGATGAAAGCTGACAGTAGTATTTGATCAAAAATATAGTCAAGAGGAAGGACATGCTCACCAGGTCCTTAATTACGAGCTCTAGAGCTCTACCTCATAGCCTTAGGTAAAAGAAAGCCCTTCTCATAGTAAATCAGAAACTTAAGGAATTCCTTGTCCAGAAAGTGGCACTGGCAGAAACTATGCATGGGTGCAAGAGGGGTAAGAGTCCTTGTATGGTTTACGCCTCTCAAAAGAAACAGACCACTAGGGCTATTTGGTCAAACTCAAGAGGTTTCCGTCCACAAACTCCCCATTAACTTAATGCTTCTTTCAAAGGCAGAATGGTGAGCAAAATAGATCTCTGGTCCTCTCAAATACGGAGTTTATAACATTCTTGGAAGGGAAGAAAGGAGATTCAGTAGCTGGAAAGTGGAAGTATTCAACCTTAGGCTCACCTGAATTAGATTAAAATCACACACTGATTGTTCTTCCCTTCCTCTCCTCCCTGACCCACCGTCTCTCTCTGGCATCCTTCCATGCAAGGAACATGTCTAATAGGCATTGCCTGGTGTACATTCTCTTTGTGTTTGGTGGACGGCAATAGAAATAAATCCAGTAGTATCAAGGTAAACCACCTCCCCCACTCCTCCTTAAAAGCTAGAGCTCAGGCAGGTTTCTGGGCTCTCCGGAGTTCTTGCCCATGTGACAAATGGAACCCTAACTTTCACTTCCATTATGTAGCAGCTTTGGCCATTTTGTCTTGAAATCCTCCCTCAGGAAATGGAAGGGTCATTTGTCCCATGGAATTTTAGTAAAAATCATCTTGTATAATAACTTTCTACTTCAATGGGAGAATGATTTTTTTTTTTTCATAATGAAATGTGAACTGGTTGATTATTCTCAGGATAAATGTAAAGGAAAAAAATTGAAGGAAAAAGTAGCATCAGCTTTGAACTGTTTATGATTTCTGCCTTGAAGCTCGAAGACTCTGTGAACAAGAAATAATACCTCAAGAAAACGTCTGGAGTGATGATAGCACCACTTTCCCTGAACGGCTCCAACCACTGTACATCACTTTTAGCTGTGAAACATTTACAACTATGTATCATATGTGACTGCCTAGATTTCCTGTTTTACATGGATGTATTAGAGATGTGTTTTAGTGTGCATATAGACTGGTTTAAATCTCTTAGGTGCAGGGATGGTTATCAATCTCAAATTGTGTTTTCAACTCACTGGAATCATTCACTGTTTCTTTGACTTAAGACAGAGGGCATGGATTCTATTCTTGTGTTGGCTGCTTTTTGCTGTATTTTTAATCTGACTCTGATTTTGCCGTGGGCTTCAACCTTGTCCTTTTTCTAAAAGGAATGGTTCCTGTATATGGAATATACAAAAGGTGAACACCAGCCCTCACATATGATTGGGGACTCCCCCCAAAAACCACTTGAATTTATTTATAAAAAATTGTGTATTCTTACATGTTTAAACTTCAGTCACCTTCAAAGTACTATTTGATGCAATATACCTATCAAGACATTGTTCCACTGCTCAAAACAGTTTTTGAACACGTCGATTTTGATGCCTTTTAGTGCTTCTGCTGTTTTTTGTTTCACCTCTCCCACATTGGCAAAACATTTCCCTTTGAGGACTTTTTTCATCTGGGGAAACAAAAAAATCGCTCAGGGTGATATTGAGGGAATGGGGAGGGGGAGGGTATGGGAGTCATGCCATTTTTGTTCCAAAACTGCTGAACACTGAGCACGGTGTGGGTAGGTGCACTTGTAAATCACCTGTCATGAAATAGGCAAATGCATAGGAGTCTTCAAAAAAAAAATTCACCGAAGCTGAACAGCCTCTCACACCACCAGTTGATACGCTTATACAGATGGGTTCCTACGACACTCACCTACTGGGGGAAGCCTGTACAAGGGGCCCGCCCTCCAGGAGATAATTCCAGTTTTTTTGGGTCCCCCCTTGTATCCAATAACTTAAATGTTTTCATTTAATCTATTTACATTAGGTTCCCCTTAGTTCAGGAGGGTAGTGGAAAGGTAGTTTCAAGTATTGCCATGGTGATAACGGGAACGTTCCATTCCAACCTTTACTTTAAGGGCTTGTTTTTTCCCCTTCTTTATAGTTAATACTTGCTTAAACTTCTAAAATTAGTTACAGTAACACCACAAAACTATGGAAATAACATTGCTGCACAAGCTAGCAGGATAACAGTTATTTGAAACCTGCAAAAGCTGTGCTGCTGCCTTGTGATTTACCACAATCGTTTCAAGAAATTCTGGTGTGATATCTATCCTTTTACCTAGATCTATGGCTTCCCCACCTTCTGCTAGAATAGGGATATGCCTGTTCACCTGTGGGTAGGTATGGATAGTAGCTATTGTTGAATGGGGATTATTTTCCCCATCTCTTACAACAGGTATAGGGTGAAACACTCTTAGGTAACCTTAAACTGTGAGGTTTTCCTAAGTGGCCAGACTTGGGATGTGGTTTCTCCCTTATTTGTAAATTTCAGCCTTATCCAGTATCTCAAATTGTAATAGATACAGTTGCTGTAACTGTTAAACCCTGTTTGAACTGAGAGAATATCTGGTTGTTTGTTTTTCTCCAGTTCATTAGTTTTTGGTCAAGATGTAACCTGAGGCTTAATAGCATTCTTTTAGGCTTCTCATTCTTTGAGGCTTCTTTGCTGAAGGGCTCACTGAAGTGTCTTCTCCATTGGCCAAGTACATGTGAAAGCCATGACTTAAGATACTAAAAGTTAGATTTGCCCAACATTGTGAGTTCAAGCTCTTTCCCCCACTCAGGGTGCTAAACAGAATTGGAATCCTCACTAAGACATGCTCAAGAAAGCTTCAGAAGAGAGCAGCTTCAAAGCCCTGCTCCTTGTGACATTGAACGATAGGAAAGAATTCTTGGGGATTTCCAATTAATACTGTAGCCTTATTACTGCTAATCACTGTCAATAAAAGGTCACTCCAGTCTCCTGTCTTTGAGGAAAACAACGAGAATGTATCTGATGAACTAGAATACTGGCGTTGGGAAATTTTAATACTGCAATATCTAAACTTTGAGTGTACTGGTTCTGTGAACCACCTGAAAAAAGCAAATTAAACTTATTAAACAGTAGTGGTTGTGGTATATCTATTTATAAGAAATCTGAAATATATGGGCTTTTGTTTTTAAGTACTTTCAGTATTTTTTTATGAGATTAAATTTTAATAGCTCTAATAGAAAGTGCTTGGGCTTTCTACTAGAAACTCAAGACTAGTTTTACTATGACACCAAAATTTCAACCAGTTAGACAGAAAATGAATACACATATGTCAAGTTGGAAAACAGTTTAATGGTCACTCACCAAAATCCATAGAAGAATCTTGAATGTTTACAGGGACAAACTATTCCACTACTCCTGTATCTCCACATTGTTCATGTTAGGAGTTTCACAAGTCAAAAAGCATCTGGTTGTTTCATCTACTTAAAACCATATGTAAGAAACAACTTAAGACTTAGTGACTTCAGGCTCCTACGTAAAACCATCAAAATTATCTTGGAAAGGTTTTCTCTGAAAGCAGCTCCCCTGTCCAAGAGATGCTTAAGGCACCTGTGCCATTTTTCTTCCAATGAGCCAAGAGACAGTTGATGCTTCAAAATGCCTTAAGGTCTCAATACTTAGTTAAGGCAAGTATGAAATAGGCTGCATGCCTTCTAGGTGTGATGAACATCAGAGTTTTGAGAAAGACATTAAAATCATGTGCAGATACTAAAGCACCACTGTACAAAGTCTGCAATCCGAAGTCTGGAACCAGTATGTCCTCCAGTACGAGGCCTTTCTAGGCTTTGGTCTTAGAAGAAGATGATTTTTTTGTGCTTCGAGTTGGGTATTTGCCCCTTCGACTTTAACCTCCGAACAGCCTCCCTCATGTGTTTGGGTTGCAGTGGAGGCATTTCTCCCCACTTCTCACACACATCCAGTGCTAAACAGAGGGCAAGGAGAAAGTTTCATTACCACACGAGAGCTTATTCACAATCAGTCCTGTAATTCTCATTAACTCGTCTAAAGCTTGCTAAGAAAATAAACCAAGACATTTTCTCTTCTTAAAATGCTATAAAATGTATCATGTTAGCTTTAGTTTACTATCTCTTTATCAGGCTTTATCATAGGCAATAGTTAAAAAACAAATCTGCTTAAAAAGAAAAATAAAACATTTCACCAGTGAGAGATGGGCAGTGGGCAGCAACCAAGTTCTTTACTTGATGGGTAGGTGGGCAGTTCCCAGGGGACATAACATCAGGGATAACTCCTCACCATGCCACACTGGTCAGCCCCACTGACTGCTTTTCTTGTATCTTCACTTTTGACAGCAGAAATGAGCAAAGTTCATTGGAGAAAAATACGAAGTCTGCTCTTGTCAGCCTGGGCTGAGGAGAGGAGCGAGGAAGGGACATTTCCTAGATGCTTCCTGACTCCCAGTACGGAAACTTTGGAGGAATAATGGTCATGCTCTGCTGAATAAAAAGGTTCCCCGCCTTGGTCAACTTCTAGTCTAAGGGGAAGCTACTACAGGTGCCTTCCTTAGTCCCATAGTCCAGATGTTCTTGAAAACAAGACCATCACAGGTTCAATCCATTACTTATACCAACACCACTCACCTTCTTCTACCACTTCCCCGACGAAAACCTTGGAAATACCAGACATCGCAATAACAACATTCTGAGAGACAGAGGTGCCCGTGATGGACTGGATCAGCTTGAAAGAAGGACGAAGACTCTATGATTAAGTTAGTCAAGGGCTGGCTTTAGGAACAAGTACCCATTAGAGCTCTGCACTGAAAAAGTGTTTACTAAAGGTTAGATGCTGAGAGTAAGACTAAAGCAAGGATTCTCTTTGTTGAAGCCATATCACTGGAATATAAAACTGCAATTGGTCAGATTATTGAGGGATCTATTTTTATTTTCCCACCTCCATGATCCACCAATTTGCTTAACACCTCATTTCCAAATGCCACTGGACATAACTCTGGAGTATAGTTCAGTTCTCTTAGCTGATGAAGATGAAGTATGATAGTCCATCCTTACCCTTTTAATGGCTGCCTTAGGGAAGGCTGACCGGCGATACATTTCATAACGGTTCAGCTGCTCCTCAGAAAAAGAAGAAACCAGGATTCTAGACAAAGATGTAGGTAATTAAGTTCACTTACAAGAAAGAATGCTTAAAACATATTATTAAATCAATAAAATCAAATGTCAATTGGAAAATGAATTTTCAAGGGGTCAATAGTAGGTTTAGTGTTCTTGAGGAATGAAGGTAAAGTATTTCTACTCTTAAGGAACTTGAGCAGAAGTGAAAAACAACTTCATTTCTTACTTCATTAAAAACAAAAACAACAATGTTGAGTCATTCTATTGTACTATGTAGATTGTGTTTTTAGCACTGGGCTCTCTCCCCATAATGCTGCCTTACTACACTTCATATTACAGTAAAAATTTAATGTATAAATTTATATTCAAACCAGTAGATTTTTTTAAAGTATACATTACTGATTATGCTATTACAGCTGTCCCATTTTTTTCCTTCCCTTTCTACCCCTCCACCCTACATCCCCCTCTCCCCAGCACTCCCTCCCTTAGTTCATGTCCGTGGGTCGTACATGTAAGTTCTTTGGCTTCTCCAATTTCTATACAGTTCTTAACCTCCCCCTGTCTATTTTGCACCTACCATTTATGCTTCTTATTCAAACCAGTATTTTTAACATTAACAGATTAAGGAGAAAAATATTTGCAAAATATATGAAAAAGCTTTAATACTCTATATAGGAATTCTTTCAAATAAATAAAAAGATGGTCATACCAATTTTAGAAAATAAGCAAAGGTCATGAACAGAAAATTTACAAAAATACATATGGTCAATAGAGGAAAAAACCTTCACTATTAAAGAAATTAAAATGATAAACTAAAACAAGATAACATTTCTCACAAGACAGACTGACAAGTATTAAAAAGAATGGTACAATTGAGAATGGGAGACAGAAACTCATACATGCAGGTAGAACGTGAAGTAGAACAATCCTTTTGGAGAATTTAGAAATATGTATAAAAATCCTTTGAAAATGTTCATACTATTTGAACTAGCAATTACACTTCTAGTTTATTTTAGGAAGCAAATGGACAAGTATGTAAAGATATGCTCAAGATATTTTTCATAATGTTGTCAAAAGAAAAAAATCCAAAACCCTAGAACAGCTGCAGGTGTTGGTTAAATTACAGTTCATCCACACAACAGAATGTAATTCAACCATTAAAAAATGATTTATGGGCATATTACTAACATGAAAATATTTTGCAATACATATCAAACATTAATAAAAATCTGAAAAGGTTTATACACTGGGCAAACTCTCAATGGTGGAATTATGCATAATTTTTTTTTTACATTCTCTGAATTATTTGCAGTGAGGCCATACTTTTACAATCAGAAGACACAATGAAGCTATTTCCATTTAAAAGAAAATTATAACCTAGGTGTATAGTTATCGACATGCAACATATTTATCATATTTAATGTGAAAAAAGGGTTACAAACAGTACTTAACATTTTTGAAAATTTTAATTTATAAATATACAGGTTGGGCAAAAGTTGGTTCCATTGTAATACAAATAAAAATACAATAATAAAAATACAAAAATAAACTGGATAAATGGTGATGGGGGAAAAAAATAAACTGTGTCTCACGTACTCACAACTGTAAACCTACTTTTACCCATCCCTGTATATGTATAGAAAATATTTTGGAGATGTACATCAAAATATTAACAGTGTTTATCTTGGTGGTATGGTGATATTTTCTTTTTACTTATTTATATTTTCTATGATATATCAATGTATTAATTGATTTATTTTCTTTGAGTTCATAAAAAAATTAAAGGTCAAGAAAAATTCATTAACTTTGTGTGGTCAAGTTAGCATCTTGCAATGGGGAAAGATCAGAAAGTAACTTACTGCATCTTTTGAATCTCATCTTCATCCACTTTCTGCTTCTTCTCTTTCTTTTCTTTGGTGTCTATTTTCAGTTTTTTGGCTGCAGGTGTGAGTAATGATGAATCTTCCCTTTCAACTGCTGTTAAATCTGAGATGTCCTGACTCTTGAGCTGAAAAGGTGAAAGAAACGCTTTTATATATTTGGCCTACTTTCCAGACTTGCGCAAGGTAAGAAGACATCATTCTCATTAACACAACAGATCCATTTATTTGGTAGCTTTTTGGTTCTAGGCACTGGCTGTACCATCAAGTGTAGAATACACTATCTGTCTTAAAGAAGTTTATAGCCCAGTTGTGAAAAGAAAACTAGCTAAAAATCCAGTTCTCCATTTTGGCTATGGTCATAGCTCCCTTATCTGTTTACAGGGGCAATAACATGTGGAAGGTCATCAAAACCTCTCTTCCCCTTAGTCCCTCCCCTAACCCTTTTCTTTAGAGGGGATGTCAGAAAAGTCCTTTCCATCCAGCCAGCTCTTCTGCCTCTAAATCTATAGACTTCTTCATTCATGATGACTCCACGTGGAAAGAATATTTAAAAGGAGGCATCTTCTCATCAAAACAGTGTTTCTTTGAATTTGGAATATTTAAGTGAGCTTCTCCCCCATGTAGTACTCTTTTCTTCCTATCTTTTCATTCTACTGTACCATACAAATATTCACCAGACTGAAACTTTTTGATGATAGGCTTTTCTCTTATCATTTATCTCTCCCACACTAAAGCTTTTGTCCTCATGCTACATGTTTAATGTCTGGTTAATAACAAAATAAAAAATCAAAGTCCAAGCTTCGTCTCTTCCAACTTGATTTACAATCTAAGGATACAACAAACCTCAATGGGATTTAACCTTTGTTTCCCTAAAAGAACTCACATTTAAACTCAGAGGAACATATGGCCCTGAGTGGTGTGGCTCAGTGGGTTGGGCGATGTCCCGCAAACTGAAGGGTTGCTGGTTGGACTCCCTGTCAGGACACATGCCTGGGTTGTGGGTCAGGTCCCTTTTTGGCATTGTGCGAGAGGCAACTGATCGATGCCTCTCTCCTTTCCTCTCTCTCTAAAAATAAATAAAATTTTAAAAAATTTGAAAAATAAACTTAGAGGAATATGAGAGGGGTAGGTGAAAATAGTAGGTAGATGGTAGTATATGTTTAGCAACCTTTTCAATTTCTTCTCCAGTTACAGATTTATAGAAATTTTCTAACCTTCTTGTGGTTCAATTTAGGTGATTTATATTTTCATTGAAAAAAATGAGTCACTTTTCTTAGATTTTTAAATTTATTTGGCTTAAATTTAAATATTAAATTTTCTTATAATTTTAAAGATCTCCATATCGGTGTCTATAGCCCTTTTTTATTTCATGATGTGCTTTTACATTTCAAATAACCAGGTCTTTATTATTTCTTATGTTTTTAGGCATTCATTTATTAATGTCTACTTTTATTTTTATTAACTCCTTGTTCCTACATTCTTCTGGTCTATTCTGGTTTTTTTCTGGTTTCTTGGAGTTGGGTGCTTATTTTCAAAATCTCCTGCTTGCTAATAAAAAATATGAAAGGCTACGAATTTCTCTTTAAACAAGGTTTCAATCAAACGTCACGGGATTTGATGTATTGTCTTTTTGTTAATTTCTTTAATCTAGGGGCGATTTAGAAAACAGTTTAAAATGTCCAGGTGGTAGTTATTTTTGGGGGGTGGGGAGGGGGATGGGAGCTTTTTGCATTGTACCAACAGGATGTGGCCTATTATAATTTCTACTTTTAAGGATTTTTTTTTTTTCTGTGTGGTCAGGTATATGGTCAGTTTTTAAAAGTGTTTCAGAAGCATCAAAAAAAAAACCTTTGTCTTCCATTGGATGAATTTGTGTGTACTGAACTCTCTCTATTGGACTATGCTAATTATTCTTCAAATCCTTTCTGTCCTTGAGATGTTTCCTTCTTAAAATAGCTTCATCACATTTTTTTCCCCTAAAAATTCTTACTTTATACATTTTGATGCAACTTTATGCTCCGGAGGGCTGTTTCCATGTAATCCAACATCCCTGGCGTGATCTCTTTAAGTCCCTTACAGCTCTAGTAGCCCGCGATTCTATCTCTAGGAGTGGTACCCAGAGAGCACAGAGATTCTGGTCCCCTGATTGATGCTGGGCCAGGCAGCACTGGTGAGCTTTTGGGGTGGCACAATGGATGGATTTGGTGTGTTTATGACCCTTGACATTGGTAGCAGTTTATGTCCCAAAAGAGTAAGAACGTGATTAAACCAGTAACTCCCTCGCTCCCTTTAACGACTTTTCAGCCTATAATGACAAAGCTATGCTGAAGCAACATCTAAGAGAAACTATATTGTGGTGAAAGGGATTCTAGGAATCCTGGGTTCTAGCTCTTGCACTGTCTCAGGGTGACATCAGATCCTAACTTCCTCACCAGGAAAACCAAGCAGCTATTTAAAATTCCTTTAGAAGTAGCTTTGATAGTCAAGGACAAGGATTAAAAATATTAACCCAGTGCTTGGGTCTCTGGAGTTTTTTCTCCTTCCTACCCCGCAACCGCCTCTGCGATTGCGGGTCTAGGGGGAGTCCTGGTGAGTTCGAATTAACTTAGCCTTGGAGGGGTCAACCAGGTAACCAAACCGGTCGAGTAGTAAGTAACACAATCTCGGAGTACTCCCCAGGTTTTTTCAACACATCCTCCCTACCTCGCCTTCCTCGGCCTCAGCTTCTTTCAAGTCTCCATCTCCGTCCCCGTCAGTTTCCTCCGGGATTCCGTCCGTGTCAGTAGGCCCGGAGCTTCCGGGAGCAGCGGCGGTCTCCTCGGATGCCCCTGTCTCTCCACCTTTTTCAGTGGGCGACTCGCAGGCATTATCCATCGCCGCGAGAAGAATCGAGGGGAGATCGCGGTGCTGTCACGCACAAGAGCTTCGGACCGCCTGCCTCACAGCAACACAGTTTACTTCCGTCGTCGCGCCACGATGACATCACCCCTACTGTTCCTCGCAGGGTCATTTTGAGGCGCGCGGAGAGAACTTCAGGACTCACTTTTAACTCTTGATTCGGTAGTTGTGGGGCGAGGGAAAATGGAGGCTAGGGATCTCAGTTTGTGGATTTTCCATCCTGGGAAGCCACGCTTTGTAAAGGAGTGCTGCGTTGTTTACTGAAAGACTTCTATTTCCTTCTCGCCTTTCTAAAACGCAATGTCAATGAACTCCTTCCTTAACCTGGGGTCATCAGACTAGTTTGGGGACGGGAGAAAACGCAATTCTGTGGTACGCTCCTGTCGCGAGGTGCGGCTTCCTGGTACGCAGGGGACTCCATCATGTAAGGTTGTGTAGGCCTGTGATTTCATTGAATTGCCAGCGTTTCTAGTCTGTTCCTGAGTACTTAAAAGAAAAGTCATTCAGTTTGAGCAGAATTTATTAAACTCATTTAGTCACTGCACAATCATTGAGCGCCTACTTCAAGCCAGGAACAGTGTTAGTACCAGAAATACAACATAGTTTATACCCAATTAAATGATTTTTCCAATTCATTAGTACTCAAAGTCCGGGTGGGTTTCACACACCTGACTTATGTCAGTTTGGTTAATCTCATCAAAAGTAAGGAAACCGTCCAAACTGGTGTGGCTGAGTTGGTTGGGTATAGTTCTGTAAAGTGAAAGGTCCCGGATTAGATTCCTGGTCAGGGCACATGTCTGCGTGGATTCTGTCCGCTGTAGGGGCGCCTATGAGAGACAACCGATGGATGTTTCCTCTCACAATGATTTTTTTTATCCCTCTTTTTTCTCCCTCCCTTCCCCTTGCTCTAAAAATAAATAAATAAAATCTTTTTTAAAAAAGAAAAAGTAAGAGGAAACAAATCCTCCTGGGAGGGAGGTATTTCCCTTGACTTTTTCACTTTAGGACCCATTTCAGGGATTGGGAGCATGAAAAAGTGGGGATATTTCTATTTTAAAAATTTCCTCCCTTCTGTCATTAAGGTACGGAGGGAGGCATTTTATTCATCTTTGTATCATTGGGTCCCTATACCCATTACATATTTAATCAATGCGTGCTGAAAGAATGAACTAGGAAATGTAGGTGCGCGTTACCATATTCCTCTCTTTGTTTTCTACGCTGCCTGAATGAATTACCGTATTTACTGTCCTGTGGGCTCCCAAACCTTTGGGACGGAGCACACTTCGGGAGGCGGATACAGGTGGGCCCCATTTGTACCCTTTCACCTGTAAAACGGGCGCCCACACAGCGCTTTCCTCTTGCCCCTGGAGGACTAGCCGCACAGCCCGGAGGCTTGGTGCAGACCACAGTCACCTGCGCCGCCAGCCGAGCCCCGCCCAGCTAGGTAGGCGAGGAGGCGGGAGGCGGGGGCGCGGTGACGCTTGACGCCGGATCCCGGAAGTGACGCGCTGGTGGGGGGGAGAGGCGGGGGGGAGGGGGGTGGTGTCCCCGGCCGGTTTTGGGGGGTGCGTTGCCCGGAGACGGAAAGTTTGGGAGCCGAAGCAGGCATTGCTGCGGCCCGGGAAGGGGGTCCGAAGGGCTGTAGCCCTGGGGATGGGGAAGGAGCAGGAGCTGCTGGAGGCGGCCCGCACTGGGCACCTCCCGGCCGTGGAGAAGCTGCTGTCCGGGAAGCGGCTTTCCTCCGGCTTCGGGGGCGGCGGCAGCGGCGGCTCCGGAGGCGGCGGCAGCGGCAGCGGAGGCTCTTCGAGCCATCCCCTCTCCAGTCTGCTCAGGTGGGTAACGCGCCGGGGCCGGGCAGCCGCCTGGGGACCAGTCTCTTGGGTCCCTAGAGAGATCGAGGCTCCTGAGACCCGGGCTGGGTGGGTTTTCGGGGTGTCCTGAGGCGAGGGCAGGCGGCCCACGGGACAAGGAACGCCAGTGCAAGTCCGAGTGGTGCCGGGCTCTCCTTTCTTGTCTCCTGACCTGGCTACGAAGAATGGTGGGAGTGCCCAGGTGGCAGCCTCTGCCGCATGGCACAGCCCGGCTTCACCCTAGTTCGCTATAGGGTGCCAGCTGTCGTATCTAACAAGCTACTTTTATATATATATATAAAGCTACTTTACATTTATATATAAACATATATCTAACAAGCTACTTCATATATATATGTATATATATATGTGTGTGTATATATATGTGTGTATATATATATTTAAATCTCCCTCACCTCCTTCAGGAACTGCCACGCCTTGCAGAATCTCTGGCTCCGCTGGAGGTGATTCTCTTGATTACCTTTTTTTGGGGAACTTGGAATCTTCCACTGACCTCTGCAGGACCTGGCTTTTACTGTTTAAGTTAAAATAGTCTCTGGACTTACGACCTTCAAAGTATTCTTCTTGGAGCTTCTCCTGTGCATGAAGTTCAAATTCTAGTCCCTTGTAGTGAACCTCATTGGAGTAGTCTGTTTAGTGGCATATGCAGGATTCATCAAGGGGTTTAGTCATCAAGAAGTAAAGCTTTAGAAATACTTGTTTAGGAAACTGAGGGGTGCTCTAAACTTCTCTAAGGTCTGTTGTTAAAATAACACTTGAACCTGAAATGTAAGGATTGAGAGAAAAAGATTACTTTTGTGTGGCTTGGAGGGGGAATTGTCAATGCGAGTAAAACGTATTGGTTCGGCAGCACTTTCATAGCCTGTTTTCTTTTCCTTCCTTGTTCTTTTGAGGTTTTAAAGAAGTGGAAGTTCATTTAGAAATGGCTTGGCTTGCTTTTGTTCCCCATTAGTTTATGTAACTTCAATTTGTGTGAGCTTGACTAAGGAATCCCAAGGCTCTAATAAATTGTTAGATATTAAGCACTGAGCAGGAACCCAGCTCAGCTCTATACAGGAAGATTTTAAAAAGCAGTATAGGAGAAGAACTGTCCTTGAACTTTTCTGGGGATGCAAACACCAGTATTATTTGCTGCAATTTCTCCAGCTCCTTGAACAGTGGTGTCACACAGTTGGTACTCAGGATTTGTTGAATAAATAAAAGTATCAGAGGATGATAAATTTCTAAATAAACTGATGGTGGTACTCACTGTAATTGTTAGTAGATCAGAGAAATGAGATGCTACTTTGGGATAAGATGGAGGTCAGGGCTTCCAGGAGGAGGGGGACTTTAGCTGGCTTTGAAGGAAGTAAGAATTTGAGTAGGTGAGGTAGCATGAGAGTGTTCTAGATGGGCACACCCCAATGAGAGGCACAGAAGTGGGAATGGAGACTTACTTGGTGTTAGCAGGACACTAGAAGCACCCCTCCCTGGAGCCTTGACTGGTTGGGCACCGTAAAGGGAAATAATGGAAAGATACACTTCCATCTTTCAAAGTGACTTAATCTTTCTCTGTTTATGTTCCCACTCCCTTGATTGGTGCCTGACAGCTCATAGGTGTTGAATAAATGTCCTTTGAATGCATGAATTGGGTTTTGAATCTTACCTGGATTACTTTGATATTTTTGCACTGGTGATGTCTGAGAGATGAGAGAAAGACTGTACAAGTTTGGAGGTGCCTATCTCTAATGAGTTGAATGATGTAGCATTTGGAGGTTTGCCAGAGATACTTTAACCCCCAGTATATCCTGCTGAAGTGAGAAGCTTGCACATATCTCCTGTCTTCAAGTACAGGTCAGGTTACTCTTATTGCTCTCACTCAGAGACGGTTGAAATTTTGCTGAGGATTTAGCTGCTGTATAGTTAAGCAAGACTAGGAAATCTTTGCTGAGTGCAAAGTTTTTACTTTGGGCCTCATGCTAATATATCCAGTTTGTCAGAAAGTGTAGATGGTGGTGTCTCCCTTCCCTTGGGTAAGAGAGCTGACTCTTGTCTTGCTTCTGTGTCTGTTGTAGAGATGGTAGGTAGCCTGAGAGCGGGCCTCTCATCCCTGTGACTCCTAGGGGCAGGGAGGATCTGCAGGCACTTGTTATAGTAGGTGTGTCATTAATTAGAGGTGACTCTGGTTAAACCTAGTGAAAGACTTTTGAGCAAATGAGACTGTGTGTTTAAATAATCCCTAGGTCAGCACATCTTGTCTTTTGAGATTTGGAAATAGTAGAGGGTGGGTCTCTCCCGCCCTCACTCCCCACCTGAGGGGCTTTAGGTTATTTAGCAAGAGCTGCAGAATCATTGTTTCAGAGGAGACCTTTGCATTAGCCGCCGTATCTTACCCCTCCACTGGTACTGCCAACTGTAGCTTGCATTTGTCCAGCTGTTTAAGTGACCAACTAAAGCTGGCATATACAGGAGCTTATAGCTGCAGTGAATATAAGTGTTCCAGACTACATGAGTGTTCGTCCTTTCATTTATTTATTCATCTTTTCATATAGTCATCTATTTATGACCCTGTCTGCATTCCACAAAAGTTTTGTGCTTACTCTTAAACTACAGAGTGCCCCCTCTCTCACCGTATCCCTTTTCTCTTATACTGGTTGGGTTTAGGTCTTAACTTCTTAGAGGGCATCCTAATGACCCTAATACACACTGATCTCTCAAGCTTCTCTTTTGTAACCCATCATCTGTAGTGTACAGTAGCTCATCGACTGATACTTTGCTTGCCCAGCTTTCACAGTTGATTACTTTGGCCTGTCAATATGATGCTTACATATAGTAACCCTCACCAATTGAGAACATTCTGGGAGTCAGAAAGTCAGCAAAGAAGACTTCTAGATTAAAAAAGAAAAAGTTGTTATAAACTCCATGCCCGTCTGACCTTCCCTTATTTACTGTGCATTCACAGGCAGTGTAGTATTATGCTTAAGGCCACTTATTTTGGCGTCAGACTGCCTGGATTCATATGCTGCTGCCACCACTGACTACACAAATTATTCAACCACTTTGAACTTCAATATCTGCATATAAAACAGGGATAATAGTATCTGCCTTATAGGTATTGTCTTAGGTAATTTGTGTAAGAAAATTACCACAATTTCTGGCACATTATAAGTGTTCACTGTTAGCCATCCTCAGTTCAGTTCAACACGTACAGTTTTGCCATGCTGCACCTATTAGGTATATAGTACCATGCCAGACATTTTAAATAGTGTTCTTTCACACTTGGGTATCTGTTTCTCAAACTATGGCAGATTAGAAAGTAAATAAGGGAGAGGACCTGCTCAGGCAGGCACATTAATGCCATTCACTTACTAAATGTTTACCTGCCATCTACTTTGTGCTAGGTGGATTGCTAGACACACTGCAAAGTTTATCTCCAACCTGGTATATAGGAGGTATTCTATCAAAATTAGTCAGTCCTGGCTCTCTCCCTCTCAGGAGCATGCCAAGCCTTTCTCTTCTCCCTCTTCTTCCCACCAGGCACCTTACCTTTTCCTTTCCCTTTCCTAGGCTCCGAGGGCCCTCCTGTTGCCTCTGTAATCTGTTTTCTGAGCCTGTGCAACTCAGCGGCTCACTTCTACGACCTTTGTAACTTTTAAAATAAACTTTCTCTTAGAATTTTATTAAAAAAATTAGTCCCTCTTCTAATACATGGTCTGTTTTACAGCATTTATAGTAGTATGATATGACTCTGTGATTGACAAAATGAAAAACAGAAAAAGCAATTAAAATCTAGGATTCCACCCTCCCACTGCCACAGTAACTTGAGACTATTAACATAGATATATATAGTCTTATATGCCTAGTGAGGCCTCAAGTATCATTGAATTATAGCTTAGTGTTACAATTTCTCTTTATTATGAATCTTAGCTATCAAATAAAGATTAAAGTACATTCACTATAACTTGTTAATGAAAGTAGGCAAAACATTTTAGTTTTCTATGCAGAATAATTCAAATACAATTTTTGTTACTTAAAAGGACAAGCAGTAGATTATCTAGAAAGCAAAGCTATTTAAAATGTCTAGTCAAACAGTGGTTTGGGAGAGCATGGATTTTAACTTTATATGTCTCATTTTTTAATTGTTGAATCAGTGTATGCTTTCATTCTGTAGCTTGGACAGGTACTGTATTAATTTTTTTTTTTTTCACAAATGGGATTTTCTGTTTGTCAACATTAAGTCTGAATTTTAGACAGATTCTTGGACTGGGAGCTCATATCCATCAGCTCGTTCAACCTTATCACCTGTCTCATCCCCAGTAGCTTTTGCAGAACTGTTACCTTTGCTGTGAAGCTCCATGCGTTTTCCCACTTCAGACTCGGGCTTCTTCAGCATTTTGACTTTTCTAACAAAGACATCATGGAGTGGATAAATAGATTGGCAAGCCTTTCCCATGTTTTTTCTAGTGCTATTTGGAATCAGTTTATTGACCACTTCTTTGAAGGCATTTGTCTGCACCTCTGGGGTCATAATTTCCATCTTCTATTGGATTTGGTGGATCTGTTCATGCTGAGCAAATCTGATTGTTGCTTTTGTGTTGTTGTTTTTTTTTTGTAAAACCAAGACAGAATAGACAAAGCAAATAGCCTTTGGTAGTCTTGACATCATTGTGAGCTTCAATCATGGTCTGCCATTTTTGACCATGGAGCACATTTTTATTATGGGTAAGATCCATGCCAGTTTTTGCCCTGAACATCCTCAGTGATTAGCTTGGATTTTCTAAATGCAAGTTCATTATTCTGCAGATCAGCTATGATCATTTTAAAAGCATGGCCCTTGAGACGATCAGCTGAGACTATGGCTTCTCAAATTCTTATGACTAGTGTTTTCCAACACTTTGTATATTGAACATAGCTGATGCTTTCACATCATACCAGTCTTTCTTAGAAAACGAATCAAATACTTTCTTCTTGGCTCCCTTTTT